CAATACTGCCTTCGTTGGAAGTTGAAAAACATGCTGGCCAAGAGGGTCAGCTTTTATTATGGCATATCCTTCAAGCATTCAGCTTGGTCTTTTTTTGTAAAATGCTTCTTTTACATTTTCAGGCTCTTTTGCAAAGATCACCATTAATTCACAGCTCTCACCATTAATAAAGAGAAAACATTTAGTTACGAAAAGCTTGTTCAAGTGATTTTAGGACTGAGCTGTTCAGCATAAGCCTTCATTTTAATTGTCACTAAGATCAGAATGTCTTTTTCTAAACTCTTCTAAGAGCATATATAGGAGAGGTTACAGACAAGAGGAGAGCATTTGTCCTATCTACCTCTTTTGGTTTCTAGAAGATAAGTAATCCTAGGATCTCTTCCAGACATTTCTTGAAATAACTCCTTTTACAATAAACAATTCAACAAAGCTATGTATTTCAGTTGCTGTTAATTATAGCATTTGGGTCACTGAACCTGTTCCAATAACTGAACAAAGTCAGAGGTACAATGAACAATGGATCGGTAATTCAGAAAAATATACATTTTAAAAAATGAGAGCCTTCAACAAAACATTGATATTTTAGGTTATACTTATACTGTACAATCAAATATCCATCTTTGATGTCTGATTATATTTCTTTTACAGCAATCACTGTACTATAATGTACAGTACATTAGCAATTTATACCCATTTACTTAGTGACAATCAAAAGTGGGACTGGAAAAAAATCTTTAAATTACAGTTTAATCTTTAAAAAGTAGTTATTAAAAGGAGGATATCACATTAAGAAAAACACTTAATTTTAAATTAACACAAATTTATACTTCCATTTGAACACATATATCCTGATGTCCATTTGAAATCTCATCACTCATAAAATACTTTTCCCTCTGTAATCACCCTTTTTCAGTTAAGAAGGAGGCACATCCTTTTCCAAAACTCCACTGAAAATGAAGGACAAGGTTCTTGGTTATATGCTGCATCCCCATTGGTCGACACACACTACAGTACAATGTACTGTACTGTGATCTCTACTCCAAAGTTCTACAAAGTAGAATTTTTTTTTTTCAGTGCCTTCACTGAGGGTGCCGGTAGCTCTGTAAGCAAATCCTAAAATCAATCTGTAAAGTATTATGCCCAGGCAATGTTTGCCATCTAATTCAAATGCCAGATTAATACAGTTCTTGTGCATCTGTTTCTGTGTTCACTTTCTTGCTTTTCGTCAACACTCTTGGCTCCACATTTTCATCAAGATTACCTGTGTATTACAGGGATGACTTACAGGGATAAGTCAAATTTTTTGTAATTAATTGGTTCTTACACCACACAAAACACTTAAAAACAATGACAACATAGTAAAGCAAAATTACAGTATCTTCCAGTTCTACAACATTTGGACTATACTTTTATGCCTCTAAGCGTTAACTGCAACTAAATAGAACATTCTGTATTGCTCTTCATTACAAAACTAAGACCCATTACTGAGTATTTGAAAAAACTCAACCAGTTGTGCTAATTTCAGATTAAAGAGAAAAAGGGATCTGGAGAAACAAAGCAAAAGTGTCTAATCATTGGGCTTAATTTTAGGAAACTGTATACCATCAGATTAGAAGGATATCATCTTCTCCATGTTCTAATAATCGCTTTGTATTCAGTCCCTTCAGAAGGTCCTGCAAACTGCTTATAAAACAGTAATGCAAACTAAAACTTTACAGCACATAATATTATTAGAGACTGTATAAAAACATCTATGCTTTGTTTCTGCCTTTGTGATTTTTATATTGTAACTTTGAAAGATTGTGTGTGGTAATCTAGAAAATGGCTTGATGAACATTGTTCTGAAAATTATGTCTCAAAGCTGATCTTTTTAAAGTGTCTCAATGACTGTCCTAACTATTTTGAAATGACAAGTTTACAAAAAAGCAAGAGGATAAGAAGCCAGTGAGAAATGGAATGTTTTTAAACATTGTTAGATATTGTTAAACATTGTTATTCTAAACATCTGTATAAAAAACAGTCCTTTACAGTATGTTCAAATACAGATGCTTGTTAAATTCTTATCATCCAATTAGGTTTATCAGTTAACAAGTGAAAAGATCCTGCTACAAAAACATAAAATATCAAAAGACCAAAAGGGATCTTTACTATTTCCTGCAGAAGGTATATGGTAAAACTCTATTGCATTTTACTGAAACCATCAGTTATTATAAATACAAATATAATTTTAAAACAGTCTTTCACAGGTTTTTTAGATATCCTACAATGTTTTTCATTACTGTGAGAGACACAGCTCCACGGATCATCTCCATCTGCGGTTAAGCTGATAATATACTCTGTTCACAGCTTTAGCTAGGTCATCACTTTGCAGCCTGTAACACTTGAAGACATGTAGGCTAATGACTGATTATTATTTCACCCAGAATATCTATAAAATCAGATAAAATCTTTTAATTTCCTTAAACTTTAGAAGCTTCTCTACCACTATCACCATTTCTTTGGCCCTCTTGAAAAACATTTTTTGGTGATATGTCCACATTTTAACACAGCTTAAATGTAGTTAAGTTTAATTTCATGTGATTTAGATCTGTCTTGAATCATTTTAAAGTGTCTTTCCCATTGAGTTATCACCAAAGAATGGGACTACTCTTACTATTGCTTTATGACTAAGGATATAAGAGACATCTTTACACAAAGGTCTGTAGGAGTCTGTAATAAACTATCCAGTCATGTTTTCAAAGCTAAACTTACAGCTTCCTTTAAGAAACAGCTGAATGAGACCCTCAGATCAATTACCTAAAAACAGCAAACATCTCTGACAATCACTACATATATAATAGCACAAGACATTGCACATAAAGACAAACTGTCATACACTGACAATTTCACATATTAACCTGCTTATTGGGGCACATCATCAGGCAATGCTTAAAAGTCAAAAATGAAAAAAACAGACTTTTACAAAAGACACACTTGCTGGCAGGAAACACAGCACTAGTGATGCAGTGAGTTCAGCAGGATCTTTCCGATAGAAAACTAAATACACGAATTGCCTCTTTTTGCTTCCATTTTATGGATAGATGGGTGAATGTAAACCTCATGCACTTCAGAGCTGAGCAGCCTGTTGCCTTAGGGCAGCACACAGCCCTTGGAGACAACAGTCGTGACCACAGGAGTATACTCACAATATTTTTCCAGTGCATTTCAAAAGAGGTCACCAGTAACATTTGCTTCAATTCATTAGAGATGCTTGAGGTTCTGCAATTTTTATTTAACTCTGTTCAAAAGGCTGAATACATATACAAAAGGCCCAATACAAGCACTTCTTTAAAAGCTTAAAATGGACAAAACTGAATGAGAGAGTCTCTTCACACCAACATTACTTGTTATCACTATGAATTTAGCTGCCTGCCCTGAAGAAATGTCTGCAGTAAAATTCTGCAAGCCTTGATCTACCCCTCCCTGAAGAACTGCTGTTTAAACATGCAGAGATTTTTGGAAAGAAGCAAATGATGTATCAAGGTATATGATATGATGGAGTACTGTATATCCCTGTTTGGCTTCCATTTGTTACATAAAGCAGGTATTTGAATATTTCAGGTCTGCAACACCTGGTAAAGAAAAAGCACACCAAGTTCCCAGCACTACTCACGTTACTGTACAGCAGCTGAGACGAGAAGGAAGTAGTGCTGTGATCAACAGTCATTATCACAGGTGGTTCACTGTTACTGTACTTCACTGAGTCCTGTGGGATTGGTTCACTCTTTAGTTTACAACACAATCCCTGTGTTTGGTATAGGGCCAAAGGATGACAGTTCCAAATTAGACCCTTGCATTAGACCTACACCTTCTACAGACTTAAACTGTATATACTGTACATATCTTTCCTTTATCTACAACACAATCCCTGTGTTTGGTATAGGGCCAAAGGATGACAGTTCCAAATTAGACCCTTGTATTAGACCTACACCTTCTACAGACTTAAACTGTATATACTGTACATATCTTTCCTTTTTCTGTATAAAAGCCAAAAAAGCAAAAAGATAATGTTTCTGGTATTCACTCAAAGAAAAGATGACCAAAACTGAGGGTCAACACAGTACTCTGCAAACTTTCCACAGGAAGAGAAGCTAGGTTTGGCAACTACAGTACACTTCTCTCTACAGTAGCTGAAGTACATTAAACTTGACATGAATACTAAATTTCCTGATGGGCGAGTTAGTGGAATGCAAAAATGGCACATTCATCATATTTTAAACTATTCAAAAGAACTGTTTATCCTATCTATACTGTGAATCATTTTAACACTCAAAGGCCAGACTTGACTGGTTAACCAAAATAAAGATGCTCTTAACGTTTATTTCAAGAAGAAGAATCTTCTACACAACTGCTTGTCGATCGGCATATTGAAATAAAATCCTTCAAAAATATATAGAGATGTCCTAATAACATTAGTCAAAGATAAAGATTTTATGCTAAAAGTTTCTTTATATCGGAACTAAATTATTATAAGCAAGTTTACATACACTACACTGCAATGCTTTAAAACTAATAGACCTTCCTATAACGCCTTTCATTCAGTTCTTCCGTGTCTTACTTAATTCTTCAGATTAAGTAATACGAATACTTTTTGCTTGTTACGGCTACTATAAGTGCCAGACCAGTTCAAGGTGCCTTTGAACTACGCATCGCAACAAAGAATCGTTTTATTTTCATTGTCACAAAATTCGCACATGAAATCAGAAAAAACGGATATTCGGAAGCACTGGCACAGTAGATGCACCTAAATCGCCTGGGATGTTGTGAACGTCAGTGTAATGCAATTATTAGCTCCAAGAACACAAACACAACATAGATAAACCCTATAGGATACAGCTATTTACTATTCAAGCTGTCAGCCAGTTTTACTTCTGAGAACTGACAACTCTGGGCGCAGTACATTTTAACTGTCAACAAGGCTGGCTGTGTTGCCAAATGTTTGCACGATCGCCGAGTTTTACCTGCCGAGCTCCTTCCCGGGGATGAGACTGTAGTGGTCGCCAAAGGGTTCGGTTCTGATCGTGCTCTGGATTTCGGACAGTAGTCCGCAGCGTATCTGGTTCTGCTCCACGGGCAGGCTGGGGCACCGCGGCCGGTTTCTGGTTTCTGGGCTGTAGGTGCACTGGGGGATCATCGCAGCAGAGCGGTCGGTCCTGTCCTCACAAGCGTGGGACGCGCACAAAAAAAGCCTAGCAACAAACGCTACAACACAGAGTTGCGATACACCCCTCGTGCTAGAAAAACCAAACCCCTCGACTGGAATGTTTTCAACTGTCTACACGTTTACTTGGGCTTCATTCATGAAGCACAATAAATCAGTTTCTCTTCAGCCAAATTTCAGGCACTGAAGCTTTTTGACTTCACCACACGCACTGGAGCGACCGCCTTGCTCCTACAGTCTCCTGCTGCTCGCTAACTGAGTCGAGCTGGATCCGCGTCCTCCTGCGCAGCCTGCCTCTCACCCGCCGGCCTTCACCGTGGACACGCCTCTGATTGACAAACCCGCTGTTGAATAGGGGAGGAGCTGCGAGAGTCCATGCAATTGACGGAAATATAATTGCCTTATACTGTACCAACTACCAAGCAGATGTCTATCATACAGTATACAGAGGCTAGACATCCAACAATAGAAAAACAATGTAAAGAAACTGAATACTGTCATGTACTAGGAAAGTATGGAACAGTTTACTACTTTATTTTGGTACTCCTTTCCCCATCCATGGAAGCAGTGCAGCTCTGACATTGAAGTCCGTCCCTTGCAGAGGGAGCGCCGGGAACTACAGTATATTGTAAGAACATATGAAGGGTTAGAAACCAGAGAAGTCCATTAAACCTATCTACTCAATTTGGTCAGAGAACAATTGTGACGATTTTTCCCAGAGTCTTGCAGTTTTGGAGATACTGTAGCCACAAATGACCATCCAGTTAACCTAATCTCTACCTACAGTATACAAATCAGCATCAGAGCTGATCAGTACAGTTCTTGCATGAGATTTCAGTAGTAACCCCTGTGTGTTGCCACATAAACCTTATTTTCTTGGAAGGTGTGCAAGAATGGTCAGTGATCCAACATGCCAGAACTGCTGTTGTTGGCTATACAAAAAATTAAACGTGTTACAGTATGTGCTTCTTATGAAATATGCCAAGCTCTAGTTGGAGAAGAGGCCCAAGGCAAGATGAATGCATTTACAGTAACTGCCCAGGAAGTTACATATCATATACAGTTTGTCAGAATTGTATGGCTAAGATTGCTTATAAACAACTGCTTATATACTGTAGCTACCCTTTCAAACCTAGCTGATGTTTACGGAACAGAAAATAAGTAACGTGCTTTATACAGTATATATTGTGCTGTGTTTTTATATAGAGGTTTAAACAAAGTTGCCTACAGATCCACACTGTACAGTACATACTTATTTGAATCCCAGTGAATCACATTCAAATACCAGCATCTCAATACAGATATTCAATTAATTCTAAAATGTTAAGTGCAGTGATATGTTTATTGAGATGTAACTTTTTATTGTAATAGATTTGGTAATACTGTACAGTGCTTTGCAAAAGTACTCACCCCCTAAAAATGTCCACATTTTTGCTGTCTGAGCTTACAATCATCTGAATAGCACTTAAAATAGAATATAATATTGTTAAATATTATATTTAGAATTTTCACACTTTTCTCCATAAAAGCTGATAATATGTCAATTAGATTTTTAAAGCAGATCATTTGTTTTAATTGCATGCCTTAATCAGTTCATGTACAAAAATATAGTTTGAAAGGTCACACAATTAGTCTAATGGCTCCTGTTTCTGTGTAATTAAAGCGGTGCAACTTAACATCAGAGTAAATGCAACTCCCCCTCTGTATGTCCCATCCATCCATTTTCTAATTGCTTCATTCAATTGAGGGAGACAGAGCCTATCCCAGCGAGCAACTGATGCAAGGCTGGATACACTCTGCATCCAGTGAATGGGATGCCAAGGTACACACAGACACAAACACGCACACACTCATACCAGAGAGGTCAATTTTCCCAGAAGTCAATTAATCTACTAATATATATTTGGACTGTGGGAGGAAACTGGAGCACCTAGAGAAAACCCATGCAATCGCACACATTCAAACTCTACGTGGACAGAACTGAGCTGAACCTAGGGCTCCGGTGCTGCAAGGCAGCAATGCTAACCACTGTGTCACCCCCTCTGTAAGATCCCTCAGACAGATACTGAATTTGAAGTCACTATTCGTATAGTGATATGGAAAAAAATATCATAAAGAACAAACGGCTTTTAAAACAAATCCGTGAAAAAGTGGTAGAGAGGCACAGATTTGTACCGTAGGTTACTTATCATTTTGAGTACAGTACAGTCAAGCTCAACAGACACTATCTAGATCCGGCTGCCCTTCCAAACTAAGGAGTTGGGCATGTAGGAAATTGATTTAAAATGCCACTGTGAAGCTAATAGTGAAATATTGGCGAAGGTCTGTGACAAAGATGGGAATCACTGTTTACATATTGATTACTGTATATCTCAGTCCCTGTACAAAACTGGCCACATGGATGAGTGGCAAGAAAGAAATCATAACTTAACTGTTAATAGAATAACAGTTGGCGGTAAAGTGTCAGGGTTGAGGGGAAAATGGATGGTGCAAAGTGCAACACTGATGGTGCTTGAGTTAGCTTGGAATCTAAAAAGAGGAATGAAAATTCACACTTCAGTATAAATTCATCTATAGCACCAGGCCAAATCCACCCTGATGTGGTCTGACAAGAAGATAATGAATTCCCTTGAGTGGTACAGTCAACATCCTGATTTTCCAATGGAAAATTGGTGGTTAGGCTTGAGAAGTGCATTCTGTCAAATATACTCAAAGAAGTTTGGCACAATTGGAACAATTTTACCAGGAAGAATGAACAAAATTTTACAGATCGTGCAAAGCTGGTAGAGACATAAATATTATAGGAAATTTTATACTGAGGAAATACTGATCTAGTGGGTCGAATACTTATACTGTACGATGAGTAAATTTCACTTTGTATATTTTTTTGCAGGTTGGTTGACATTCAACCTCTTCAGTCTGATTATAACAATTGTGAAAAAAATAGCATTTACATTACTTGTCATTTCATTACAGTCTTATTTTCTGTAGGGTGTGAATTATATTGTAAAGCTATGTAAATACATTTTTATTATTGTATTATTCATAGTTTTGTGACTCAATATAGCTATTCACAGGTTAGAATATTTTTTACTTGATATGAATTATTGTATTTCTTTCTTACACTTAAAACAAGGGAGCATAAAATAGAAAATATTTTGCTCAATTTTAAATCTGAATGCACCTGTGTATTTCCACTAGCCCTGATCTACAGTAGGTTCCAAGTTTAACAGTTCAGGTTTTGATTACTACAGTTGATCCAGAGATCAAACTCTGACCCCTGCTGGATGTGTAGGGAGAAGCAGTTAGGTAGATGACAGATCAACCCAAGTTTCATTCCCTAGGTTATACGATATACTGTAGGACAGTGTTGGGAAACCACTTTTAAGGAAAAGCTTAGTCGAAAGTGGAAAGATACCAGTACAAATTTTACCATAATAATGATGAAAGATCTAGTATTATTTTCACCATGTAGGTTGCTAGAAATGGCACACAAAGCACAGGACTTTGTTTTCAAAATTACAATAAACACAGTCATGCTATAATACTACAGCAGAATTAAGTACTGATACCAATTATCCTTCATATTGTTGCCTTTCTGATGCCAGATGTAGTGTTCATTTTTAATAGAGATATGAAAGCCATTGACATTACAGTGTTTTCAGTAGACAATAATGGCTGTTCTGTCAGAACTATTGTATATTTTGTAACTTATCTGCATGATTGCTACTGGGAAACAAACCATCAAAATAGTTCCCTTGTCCCAGCTATTGGTCAACTATTAGGACTTCTTACCTGTTTTTTCAGTAAATGTGATATGGAGGAATTTTAGCAGTTGGGAATCTCTGAACAAAGACATGCCTCTTCACTTTCATTGGATATATTTAGAAATACAAGGGCATTAAATTAACGTTTCCTCTTCCTTACAAAATCTATAATAAACTAAGAAGAAAAAATCATACATTCTTTCATTGTCTCCTTTATTCTCTTGGCTGATGTCAAACAAGCAACAGGCTGTGAATGGCAATTATATTTTCTATGTTCTGCATAGGATTATATAAAAGCTTTATGTTTATCACAACATGTTACTTGTTTCCTTTCCACAAATAATGCTGGCATTATAATGTGGAAAACCCAGATCACCCCAATACACTTGTTATTTTAGGTCTTTAGCAAAGTATTTGCCTTTCTTACCCATCTTGTCTTATAAAAGAGGCCATATTTACAATACTGGTCACCATGTACAGTAACCCAAACAATGGACTTCCACTCTTTCCTGTGAGTGTTTCCTTCTTAACACCTTACAGCCTGTTAGAGAAATGTCTCACTGTTGACAGAGACTGTCCTGTATGGATTATAAATATCACAACCTCCATATTCTTCAAAGGCTAGTGACATTTCACTAATATGTGGCAGAAAAGTGTTAAATCTTGCCATGAATGTATTTAAAATCTAAATGTTGGAGCATGCATTCGAAGGACGCTGTGATTAATGGGGTGGGGATTTTCTTTCAAATAAAAAAAAACAGCAAAAACAGTGCATTACAAAGTGATTGTTTATTGACATTCATCTACAGAGATATGATTAAATTGAAAGCACAGCCTGAGAATTAAGTGACCTGTTATAAAACCAAAGCAAATCAGCCATTTGATGAGCACATCCATGACAAGGGGCTTCTAGGGAGAACAATTATTAATAAAATAGTAAATACAAAATAAAATACAGACATGAGCAGGCTTGGTGAAAGCAGCTGAATGATATGGAGACAATGCTTTCAAAATCAGCATTCTGAAAGTTTATGGGATCTATAAGTGATGAATGAGTTCCAATGCAGAGCAGTTCACATCCTGACAATCTTTCCTGAAGATGGCAGAGCTATGAGCAACAGTTGGTAGAGGCACAGACAAAACCTTTAACAATTCTTCTTTTCTCTGTTTTTCATTTTTGCATGAAAATACTTCTACAGATCAATCTACATTGGCCATTTAAGATATTGGTTATGACTTTTAAAGAAATTATTACCATTATTATTATTATTATTATTATTATTATTATTATTATTATTATTATTATTTAGACAATAGGACTGATTACTGTAACCAGGGGATGGCTAGGTAAACAAGAAAATGATCTAATCCATCATGCTTCATGAGCCAGTCAGTACTTCTCACACATTTTAATTCTTGGAGTGCACTTTTGTGAGATTTATTATCTCCAGTTTTAGTTTGGCTGATGTCTTCATCTTAATACTTAAGTCATTCTTAATCTCAAGCAGTGACATACAATATTAAAAGGTTTTACTGAGGCACATAAAATGTATGTTCTAATACCACAATTTCCACTTGGGCCACTATATACTGTACACATCTGTGATGTGGCAAGTGTTCATCTCATGCCATAACTTATACAGTATAGTGCATCTGCTGTATGTATTCAAGCAGCCAAGGTGAGGCAATGGGTAACACCCTGGGGACTCACATACTGTAACATTTCATTATTATTATCAAATCAGTACTGAAAGAAACATCTTTACTAGAATGTTTCCTAAAGATCAACTTTTCAAATTTAGAATCTCCAAGTTTGATATTTCTCTTAACATTTATTTTACTGTATCAGGAGGCTGCAAGACCTCATTTTTCAACCCCTTGCAGAACTGTTAAAATACAGGAGTGTGAAAACTGTATTGAAATGGCTTTTCAATACTAAATGAAAAGTATTAATAAAAAACAATGAGAAATTATTAAGTCCCAAAGGGCATTATTTGGCTAGTTTATTTAATATTGTTATAAAATACTAAATAATCCATAGATGAAACAGTAACATATATTAAACATTGATTTTTCTCTCAAAGAGGCTGTTAATGTTTTCTTCTTCATAGTCCCATAAGTAACATAATTTACAAATCAAATGAATGAATCCAACTTACAGTATCTTGAATGCAATCCTTTTACAACCTGGGCCTGAAGACTGGATGGCTGCAGTCATGATCTGGTACCAATTTACAAAGTGTAGAAGATATATCGATATTTTCTACAGAAAGGTAGAAAATAAATAATTTAAAAAAAATAAAGGTGCCCCATGTTTCACTGTGGCAAACCCCAAAATGGGCAATTTCCCTGAGGGGAACAAAATTATGGAGGCAAAATAAAATGCAGCCCATATCAGTTGGTACAACTGCAACAATGTAATATAGGTACTTGTAACTGTAACTGTAAGATGGCAGGGGTGACTATCTGTAGTCAGCAGAGTCATATCACGCTGGGGAATCTGATCCATCCCATTTACACAAATCATTATTGTAGCTCTCACAGGGTCCTCAAACTCCAAATGAACTCCACAGGCCTTGACACATATAATTGTTTTTTTTTCCTGTACCATATAAGAATCAAAAGGTGGTTTTTCACCATAAATAGTATTCAGTAATAGTGGAGCTTTTTTATGTGGACTTGTGTCCACTGTGTGCAATGCTCAGACCACAAAATAGATACTTATCTGTATTGCGGATTTACCTGCTGCACATTTGTTCAAACTTTCTCTGAAAAATTTTAGCTGGTCTGTTTGCTACAGAGACATAAATATATACAGTATACATAGTTTTATTTCATTTACTTCCCTTTTTTGATTTAGGGGTTGTGAGAAATTTAAGCAGCTTCACACAAACCCTCCATAACCCCAATTTTCCTTTCTGAAAAATAAAATAAATCTTTTAATAATTTAAGATGTTATAAGGTAAAATAAAAAAAGAAAACAGTTCAAAGCTGTGACTCCTCTGTAAAAATGGTTGTCTCCAGTTGCAATGAAGCCATGTTAATGTACTATAAAGACAGTTCTCACATTAAGGTGGTGACAGATGCTCAACTTAATTTCTGTCAGTGAACAGTTACTTCAGAAATTTAACAGGAGATTTTATAGTTCTATTTTTTTTTACCAGAAACAAACACAAACTCAAAATACTTCTAAACATGTAAGGAATGAAAACACAGACCTTATTTGTCATCTTTCATCTCCTTTCATTTCATGCTGCGTATTTCAAGTAAACACATCCCCATCAAGCTTTGCAGTTTCCGACCAATGGTATACTGTATATTGTAGTAAGCACCAGGATATCTGAGATCATTTCAGGTGTTCTGGGAAGAAGGCCAACCCACACTGCTCTGTCACGAGGTGAAGGGGACATGAAGCCTGATTAGCAGGGTTCTGAACGTCTAATGCTTCACTTCCCCTATGTAACCCAAATGGTGCCCTCATGTAAAGTCATTCTTAAAATTAAAAAAGAGGGATTTTTTTGCAAAAAGACACGATTCTCCGTACAAAGAAATTCCATAAAAAAAGAACATTGTTTGGCTTGTAGTCACTAAACATTCTTCCTCAGCAGTCTCCAGGAATGCGTGTGCACTGGTGCACGGTAACTGAGGGTGATGACCTCACCTACAGTGGATGCCGACCTGCCATCACAGGCTGATGCTTCTCCTGCTGCCCCAGTGATGCAGCGAGATGTGGGGTGGATGAAGTGCACAGTGACATAAAGCAACATCTCAGCGGAACTGATGGGGTTGGCGGACACGTGAGCAACATCAAGGCGCTGAGTAGGCTGGAGCCAGGTATTTTGTATTGCATACATCTCTCTTTGTGCAAGAGCTCAGAAAAGGTCCATTACATCAGGTGAGTAACACACATGCAGAAAAGTTCTTTTTAGTCCTGACATACATATTAGAAGTAAAAAAAAGAAATTGTCTGCAGAAAATTATATGAAAAAAAGGGGATTTTTCCCAGCCATTTAACAGAGGTCAGAAGTCTCTGGTCTTCACTCCAGCCCAAAAGTGCTGGTTTCCTCCACGGCTATTAACATCTTCTCATACAGCATTGTATAAGAGGGGTAGGGAGGGAGATCAAGGCGGTTGAAACATGTGTGAGCCCTGTAAACAAGAAGCAGGTGAAAAAAACTGGGTTAGGTTTTCACAAAGGGGCCACAAGGCTGTAATCATAAAACACTCATCACTACTGTAAGCTTTACCACCACAGTTACTTTCCTAATTAGAAAGCAACAGTGATAGATGATGAAGCAGTTTAAACCTTTTAAGGAAGCCAATTTCAGAGTAGCCAAGCTCAGTTTAAATAGCCTTTTCCTCTGATTTTGTATAACTATAACATTACATTCTGGTATTCAAAATGTCAGTAAATTTGGTGTTGCAGAAAGTGTTTTGGGAATTTGGCCCAAGAAAAGGTAGGAAATGAGAGAATACACAATTCCTTATATTCCTGTAAATTCTTTATATTGTACATGAAGTATATTATTGTATTGTATATTGTATTGGATTAATTGTAGATTTGTTTACTCCTTTAGTTTGCAGACTGTTTTTTCAACACTAAAATAAACTCAAATTCAGAAATATATAAAGAGATAGAGCTACAGTATTTTAGTTAATAACTAAAGATAATACTGCTACTTATAACTCTGTAACAGTCAGGAAAGATTTCCAAATTACACAGAAAAAATGAGTTTATACCTAGAGTACCTGCAAAAACTTAACATTCTAACATTCTGTCCAATCACCTCTAATCTATTTCCATGGAATGACACCAAAAGATTCCCTGGCTTTGAGACACTCTTATACATTGGCTGGAACACCATTTGCTATCTCTGTGCCCCAGGGTATCTGATACCCTAGAAATTCATGGAGGCGGCAAGTTGCTACTATTATTCTCATATACAATAGCCTTGATTTCTGAAATCAAAAACAATTTTCAAAAAACTGTCAGTAAACATAGAACGTCGTTGTTCAGAATTAGTTGATCAGTTTATTTTGCAATGTCTTGAAGACATGAGGAATACTTTATTCCCTCACCAATCATGCGCTGGAATACTAATGCGGGTTGTTACAGTACATATCCTGATACACAATGAAAACAAATTGCAAAGCTTTACATCAGTGCTATTTACATTTTAAATAGCAATCTGAGTAGTATTAATCCTTGTATTTAAAACAACAAAGCTCAAGTAATACAATATCGTAAATTGCAAGGTAAAGTACGTAATGTTTGCTATTTGAGTTCAAATTGCAAAAATTAGATGCTGAATAATCTGAATAAATACAGTAGCTGATCAAAAAGCTATGATTTTAATTAAAGATTAGGAAATGATACAATTTACCGCCTGAGCAAGGGGAGTTGCCAGGTTACTGCTGGCATGATTGAACCCGTTTGTCTCTGAGAGAAACAGAGCTAACAGAGCTGTTATGCTTGAACAATCAGCAGACTGGTCCAGACAAACTAGAAAACTGGCTCTGTGTGTGACAGACCATGCCCTGGAAGGCAGGGAATCCACATCTGTTACATCTGTCTGATCCATCTGCCTAATGATTTTCAGACTGCGGCAGCTACAGCGTGAGACATTTCCAGAAGAAAAAACTTGTGCTTGAGTAGAATGACTGTAAATTGGCAGCTGCATGTAAATGGTCTGCATAAGATGTTAATGGATAAAATGCTAACACTTGAAAGACAGCATTTTTTGTGAGTCAGAGAACAGCTGAAGTTCCAGCAGAGAAAAGGTTAAGTGTTTTATTCACAGGTGAATTTCATCTTGCCCTTGACAGACTAGACTGTATATAACATGTGTGGAGACATCAAGATGTGCACTGTGCCTCTTGAGGCATTATATGGAGACATCTAAGAGAAATATCCCAGATACTTCCAATAGATATTAAAATAAACCTAATATATTAGATTTCTATAGTTTCTATAGAGGACTGGGATATTTCTGTAGAAACCGATCAGTTGTCTGTGGGTTGATTTCGTAAAGGTCATGCCTGTCGATGGGGTTGTGTAAATGGGAATAAATCTTCTTTAAAACAGGAACACCCGTTGTGCAGATGGAGGGAAGCCTTACTGCTCAGAGATACAGTACATTGATAAAGTGAACTCGAGCCAACAGTTGTCCTGTTCCTGCAAGCCAATCTGTAAGAGTTGATTTTCCACCAGGTCAATGCTGGAGCACACAGTGCAGGGATTATAAAGGCATGAAAGAACAGAGAGAGAGAGCACCAGCGGGGGAGAGGACAATGCTGTCTTTCCCAAGAGTGGACCCACATGTAAGAGCTATGATCCCATAGGGGTTCCAACAGAAAAGGACAGACCCCAGAAAGGGGGTACACTGGTGGGTCTGCTGAACAGTATGTTGCATGGTGGAGCCGGAAGTGCGTTCCCTGGAGATCTTCACTCCGGTGTGGTCATGCCCCAGGGGGAAGTGAAAGGTGAGTGTTATTGTGTGAAAGAGAGTCTTGTGGTCATTATTGTGAAAGAGTGAATGCAGAATTAAGCCTAGTCTAGTGCTGTGGTTACAAAGAGTGTGTTGCAGACCAGAGAATAAAATATGCAGCCTGTCTGGCTCCTGAATCTGTGGGTATTGAGTGAATAGTTCAAATAGGTAGTTGCGTCAGGCCGCTAAAAGCTCACATTTCAGTTCTGACATACTGAAATACGTTTAATTTCATATTGTCATACTGAAAACATATCAGGGTTCTTTGATCTAGACTTTTGCTCACATTGCGAATCTGTGATTTTGTTTGAAAATATTTAAATGTTAAATGAACAGTGGATTGTATGTATGTTTCTATAGTTTATGTTTTGTTTGTACAGTATATCGCAATATATGTAAATGAATGCAATTAGAACTTATAGTATATATATATCATATCTATAGGCGTGGCACAGTGGTTATCATTGCTGCCTTATAGCACTGGGGCCCTGGGTTCAGTTCCAGACCTGGGGTGCTGTGTGGAGTTTGTACTGTATGTTCTCCCTGTGTTCATGTGGGTTTCCTCAAGGTGCTCTAATTTCCTCCCACAGTCCAAAAACATTCTAGTAGGTTAACTGGCTTCTGTGGAAACTGTCCCTAGGTATGAGTGTGTGCATCTTTGTTTGCCCTGTGATGGACTGGCTTCTTGTTCATGGTATACCCTGCCTTGCATCTTGCCGGTTAGGCTCTGGCTCCCTTCTGATGCTGAATTAAAAGAAGCTGTTAGAAAATGGACGGATGGATCATAGATATGTCCATAGTTAGGACTGTTTCATCTTTCTTTAATGAATGTGATTCCGGGAGTGCTGAAAGTGACAAAGAATACAGATGCAAAGCAAAGTTCTAATGCCTAATACTATACAATTTGAAAATCCATTCAGCTGAGCAACAGAGAATGTGTAAATCACTTTTCTGAGATCAGATCGTGCCCCAAGTTTTCCAAATTTTCTAAGGAAGTGGCTTCCTAAAATTGCTATACGTTCTAGTTGAGACCAAAACGCCTTGGTAATTTCCTGTATGCCAGGTTGTTGGCCCCAGCAATAATACATGTGTAACGATAACTTTGTCTGCCCAACCCATCCATCTGGAAAACTGAAATAGGAAACAACATATGGAAGCAATTACGCCTGCAAGATTCTTTGTGTGGCCTGGGCTCCACTCTGAACACTGTACCAACTGTAATGGAAATGAACACAAAAGCAGTATTTCAGACTCCTGTCCTGTAGGTAAATATTAAGACCGTCCATTTACAAAGGACAACAGGGAATGGACAGCACCTGGCTCATTAATGAGAATGGAATAAACGTTGAGACCAGAAAATTCCAGCTCACTTAATGCCTGCAGCATGTCCGTTATGTAGATGCACCGTACCTGGGAAGAGAAGTGACTTTGCCCCATTTCTCGATACAGAATCTCCTGAGGCCATTGCTTCCCCTCAAGGCGGCGAAGCCCTCGTACGGAACACTGGAAGTGCCCGTCACAAACTGCAGCAGACGAAGCCTCTGTTCATTGTTGAAGCGCTCCACAGCAGCCCAAAACCACCGGATCACGATGTGCCCATCGTGGTATCCTGGAACACAAGCCCCGCAGCAACTCAACACATTTTGTAAGGAGCTGATTGATCTTGGAGACAACAACATGCAAGAAAGCATGTTGACTTGAATTTAGAGATGGCACTGATATATATTATGCTGGTAGAGAGGTTCATCTTAATACTGTATGGTTAGCTTTAAATTATATTATTTTGGTGCCCATTATGATTAAAGCTCTATTTTTAAAGCTTTCATATTATGACAACAAACCCTGTGCTTAAATTTCCCAGGGGAAAAATTCCAGTCATGTCATTTTCATGATTAAGTAACAGAATTATTACTTACTGCAACAAGCAACTACTTTAAAACTATATTAGATCATGCCTTATTGTGCACACTAATGAAAACCTAGAGATTGAAGGCTAACTGACTGACTGCCAGTCAGAGTTATCAGTAATCATGAAACAAGAATTTCAGGCAGACTTGTTTCTCTAACTTTTCTGCTGCTGAACCTGCACAAATGTAAAGCAACTTTCTAAACCACATACAGAAATAAAGGTGAAACATAACATGGTGCTCTCATTGTAAATTTTCTCATTTTACATTTCTAAAATTAAAAAATATATGCATGCCGATGACAAAGGGTATAGGGTATTACATATTTACAAAGCCCATTTTAAATGTACAGTATAATGTGGTGTGGATATTGTAAAATACATTTATAAAGTGTAGCATCTTCAATCCCTAAAGTGTAGCCAAGATAATACAATAAGATCAACAAAATTAATAAAATCCTGGAGGGACACAGGAAATCTTAAAAAACACAACAAAGGAGGAAAAGATTAAAAAGGAGGAAAAGGAGCAAATATTAAATCTTTCCCCAAAGGCAGTGCAATTACAGGTTGCAGCAGGTGTGAGACACCTGGGCTGTACCCACCTCCTCTGTACTCTGTGTTGTTCCTCCAGTCATTCAGGTCGATCTCTGCAGTTCCAGCAATCACCAGCTCCAACTCCCTGGCGTCAAACACTGAAACCAGCCTGGAGTCCACCACCTGAAGCCCGAGGAAGATGCCATTTCTCAGAGGTTATGAAAACATAAACACATTTCACTCTGGGAACGATGTGAAAGGAGAATCTATGGACAAGTACTGTACATCGCCTCCTTTCCTCTTCCAGATCCCCAGCAAACTTGAAACGAAAGCTGTGATAAATTCAGCAGGACCAAACAGCATCATTCCTCATGTTCTGGATGATGTACTTTAGAGTGATAAATCTGTAAGTCAAGCTTTCAAGAACATACAGAACTTCAGGACTGCCTCTCCTACTCTCCGTTCTGAGATGGAAGCACTAAATTTATGTGAGAACACCCTTGTGTCTTCCTGAAGTTCATTCAGTCAAATAACACTGTCCTATAAAAATTTAGTTTAAGCCTATCTATAAGGTGTGTCTGAATGGGAAGGCAAAACGATGCTTTTACTTTCTCTTATTTACAGTAGACGGTTGGGCAGATGCCTAGCTAGCTTACCAGGCCTTCTGAAATTAAAGTAAATGTTCAGGCAATAGTTGCCATCAGGGAATCTGATATAAAGAATCATGCTAATTTGGCTAATAATACCATAGCCAGCTTCCATCATACATTGGTGTTTCATCCAGGGTCATGGGAAGATGCAGCTTGGCACAGACGACACAGAAACAGGTAAAGGTTTATCCCACGCTGAAAAGAGAAGAAAGGAAACAATGCTGTGTTTCCTTTCTTCTCTTTTCAGCGTGGGATAAACTTTTACTTGTACTTCTGCAGCCTACACATGCTGATGCGGCTACCTACAGTACTTGAACTACTACAGTGGACACAGGTTGCAACGCAGGACTACACTCTGAAGAGAATGTTAAGTCTATCACAGGCCAAACACAGGACAATGAAGACCCAAATTAACCAAGCCAGCATGTCACTGGAAGTTAAGGGGAAACTGAGGCACCTGGAGGAATCCAATGTGAATATGGAGAGAACATGCAAACCCTATACAAAAGACACCATTGCCTGCAACCAAAGGCAGGACTCAGTAGATCATTACAGAGAGCAAAGAATATGTACAGCAGATGAGTGTAAGCACAATGTTTAAGTATGGTACCTAGAAGAGTTGGAGAAGGAGCCAGTATAACATCACTGGACATCTCTTCAGGCTTACCTCATAAAAGCCCCGCACCAATGCTTCTGTCTGCTGCACCACCCCGCGCTCCACTCTCCACTTCACCATTCGCTCAATGTACTCCTTCTTGTTCTTCTCCGTCACCTGCATGTTGGCGCCACCTGACCTGAGCTCCCTTTCTGTTACCTATGGAAGGAAAAGCACATGTGGACAAAAAGAAGAAGGTAGTTAATGGCAGATTCTTTATACACTAGCAGTGTATAGAGCAGTGTATTATCTATATACTAGCAGTCTACTTTCACAAGTGCAGCATGAAGAGAATAAACTCTTTCTGAAACATGTTAAAGTATCATACTATACAAAAAATTTGAATATTTTTCCAGGGAATCTAAGGATGTGAGAAGAATTTTCCATTTTTATTTCACAAAATAAGCTCTTGTTTTTCTATCTGAATTTATACTTCCTATTTTATGATGAAGGCTTGTCCACCTGGAACAGGATGGGACCTGTCACCTTTTGATTTGCATATGTGAATTTATCAGGCTTCACTAGCCCAAAAATACAATATATATAAAGCCAAAAAACTCTTGCTGGGTTGAACACACTTTTACACTGTAACCTTACCTGACCAAAGACCTCCTCATTTACAGTGAAGGTTAGGTCCAGTATGTCAGTGATATCGTTGTCTTTCATCCACTGTAGACTTTGGTGGAACTCCTCATCCAGGTACTCCAGGTCACTCAGGTCACATGGTCTGCCAGACAGAAAAGCCTCCCACTGTAAACTCACTTCACATAAACCATTAGGGTTCATTCAATTACTGTATGCATCCACCAGCTCTCTACTGATATCATTCACCGAGATATAAAATTATAAAAACATATAGAGTTTATGCAGCTCTTTAGTTGCTTATGTATTTATCCATCTCTGCGCATGTACTGTACATACGTGTACTGTCATACAGATAAATGTAAGCTACTGTAGTATATTATGTTTCAAGCCTCTTTGTTGAACATCCTTATTGCTATATTCTGCAATCAGTTGTGAGGTATAAGAAGTTGTCAAAACTGTTGTTAAATACAGACTCCAAAGCACTATTCAAAGCTTATTCTAGTTGAGTTATTCAGTACAGTAACAGAAATATAGAGTAGTACAGATACTCAAACACATTTTAAATGTTATCATTATGTTAACTTCCTGTGTGCTTTGGCTCTGGTAGTGACCATCAAGTGAGAATGAACTCTTGGCTGATACAGGTCTAGAGGGGGCACAGCTCCTGTTGGAAGTGAAGTGTACTGGGACTGCAGGGGCCCGTCACAATGATGTGGTCCAGGATGAGTCTCAACTCACAGCCTCAGAAGAGCTTTGTAGAAAGGCCTGGTGAAGAACGCGTCCAGCAGGTACTGATGGATCAGCGCCAGCCCAAGGATACGCCCACTGAACCTGAACCTGCTCAACACAGCACAACACAAGTGTCAGCACCACCATTACAGACATTTCTGGGCAAACCTCCTGAGTACTGCGGCAGCTCTCCCACATTTTAACATGGTACAAACCAGGTACATTTTTCCATTATCTCCCACATTATCCTTATTAATATAAATATCATTATCATCAGAACTGCTTTCATGTTTTATCTGTATTTGCATTCATTTTGCTGTCCTTTACTATTCTTTATGGTGTTTCTAAACTTAGACTCATCTCCTTTGGAGCCTCATCAGCATTAAGGATTCCTGTAAAAAACATTTCAAGCCTTGAATATATTGAATCCCAAACAATGTTTGTAAGTTCTTTTGCAACCTTTTCCTTATTTACTGTCATGTATAATAATACTGCACATATTAGTTGCTATTTACAGGACGTTATTAGCAGAAGTGAAAAATAACAAGAATACATTTTCTGCACAATAACCTGAAAAGTCTGCAATATAATCTGATACCACAAATCATACAAAGAGAAAGCATAATTAGAAAAACATGTCTATCTGTCGATAGCTATCTGTCTACCTGTTGGCAGTCCTTCACTTTCAGCAGTCACGTCATGGGTTGACCAGCATGCTTTGGAGAAATGTTATGTCTGTACGGTAGGTGATTTAAATCTAAACAACCAATCACTTAGTGATTCAGTTGAAAAGGGTTTGTTTGTCCTTGATGATCAGCTAACTGAAAGCTTTACCAAGTTCTAATGACAATTTAAAAAATGAATTACTGCTTTGTCCCAGATTTCTTTCTTTTTCCAATGGCCGGTAGCAAACACTGGTCTTCCAGTTATAACACCTTCTTTACCATGGGGCACCTCAGGAAGACATCAGTAGCCTGTCTGAGGGCTCAGACACAATCCCTCCCCGACAGAGAGAGCTGGGGAATTTAATCTGTTACATGATAATGCAAATCAGCAAGGAATTGACACCCTACCCTCGTGGCATAAGCAGCTTTGACAGCTTTGGCAGCTCCACTCACCCCTAGTGCCAAGACACACGCAGCCTGCCTGTGAGAGGATCTCCCTCACCTGAGTTCGCTGCAGGAGCCCATGAATCATTTCAATACCTTTAAACTTGTAAGCTTCAGCAGCTGTTAAACTCTAAAAAGTAATTTTAAGAGCAAACATAAGGAATATGCAGCAGCTCTTTTCTCTTATATACTGTATAATTCAAATCTAATAGAAAGTATTTCTAGATTTTGGCAAAACACCCATTCAGTAAAAATTACAGGCAATCAGTGGCTACAGTAAGTTCTTATAAACTAAGTTTATAGTTAACTCAGTACATGTATCCATCCATCCATTCTCCAACCAATACAGGATGCAGGGGAGCCAGAGCCTGTCCTTACAGTGCAATGCAGGACAGACATACACACATACCAGGGCCAGTTTTCATAGAAGCCAATTAGCCTACTGTACTATGTCTTTGGACTGTGGGAGGAAACCCATGCGAACACAGGGAGAACATGCAAGCTCAAGTAGCACGCCAGCTCCAGAACTGAACCCAAGGCCCCAGCACTATTAGGTGGCAATGCTAACCACTGGGCCACCAAGCTGCTCATTATAACATTTACAATAGCCAGCTGTCTACACAAAAAAAGACAGTAATTCATATGATAATAAACATAAATTGACTAGTGGTTTTGTGTGTATTAAATCAATATTATGTAATAATACTTAATAAAATTGTATGCAATAATATTTACTAAGCTATAAATGGTATAAATATCAAACAAAGCATAATCATACTTATGACATAGACAATACAGCATTAAACTACTGCTTCAGTGACCTGTTGGGTATTATAGTGAATAATAGTTTGATTAAGGTGTCTAACTACTAATACAAATGCTATAAATAAGAGATTATTCAACCTATCATAATAAGGATCATAATGCAGCCATTGCTTATTTTTCAGGCAATTTTCTTAGTAGTTAAAAATTTAAAATTCACCTAACTACCATATATACAAAACATAATGTATGTACTGTATATAAATCCATATCCATATTCTAGATGGGACATTTGTATTTATTTGTTTACTTACTTTTGGAAACACATAGCATATATCCTAGGAAAAGCATGACAAAGGGGCTGAAGTGTGTCCTGTATTCTTCCTACTTTGCAGCTTTGAGAGGTGTTTCCACTCAGAACGATTTTACTCTCCCCTGCTGCACCTGTATGCAACCAGTCAGTGAGAACCACTGTATCTCAATTTTCAGCTGCAATCTTTAAGTGTACAGGACATTGCACTGGCCGTCCATGAACAAGTAACATGTACAGTAAAACTCTACAGTAAAAACACTACAGGAGAGTAACTGCAGGACTCAATTTCCGCCATAGGACAGAGTATTTATAAACTTGCCATCAAAATATTAATCATACTTTGAGTTTTCAGGAATACATCATTCATACTGTATATAATTTGGACACCAGATTTTTTCCACAATATTTTGTAAGAAAAAAACAAAGTGTTTAATGAAAGAACTCAAGCTGGAAGATAATAATTAAAAAAAGGTCAAGAACACACTTAAAAGACCTAAGGCTACAAACACAATACAGACTTACTTTCAGAAGCATAGAGATCACATCTTTGATAAGAGAAAATCTTCTACATCTATATGGTTTAAAAATAAATGTATCACAGATTTTGTATAGCCATTTCCATAAAGGAGAAAACCAGTATGGTGTTAAGATTTCAAACAATGCTGAGGAACATTTTGATTAATTTCTGATACCTTAATGAGGCACAATTAAGGGGGGATGAATCAGCTTATTTATATACTGTACAGTATAAAATTAAACTGTTCTGAAAAAAGATTCAGAACTTGTTTTCTACCATTTTGCTACAAATGTTCCTCAGAATATTTCCAATTTTCACACCAGTGCACACACCAAGCTTTTGACCTATATGTTATTATATCAAACTGTCCAGGTCTAAAACATAGATCTGTTTACATTTTTATAAAGGAAGCATATAGTAAGATGTAAATAAACTTTCAAATTGTGACAAATATTTCATTTTTGTGTTAGTGTCCATTGTGTACACAACTTATGGTGCTGTGTTTTCCACATCAGGAGCATATGTCAGAAAATTTTCAGTTTTTATAAAGCCTTCTGAAAAATAGAAGCTCTGTTCTGTTTTTGACACGAGTTTCCAAACTTTTTTTTTCCTTTTTGTGTGATTAGAGCTTTTCCAAATGAGTCTGTTTACAAGTTACAACAGGAAAATAAGACTGAATTTAGTTTTCTTTTTCAAGGTACAGCATGATTGCCTGAGGAAAAATACCGTTTTGACAGTAGCTATCAATTCACAGGGCTGTAAAAACAGAAAATGCGATACATTTGTTTTCCTCCCTCGGACCTGCTAATTAATGACCTGACACAGTGGCTGCCTCAAGCAGTAACCTCATTGTTCTGAGCTGAGCTAATTGTGGTGCCATGTTTACTATTTCTTGTCAGAGAAGAATTTTTATTATTTTATCAATCTTTGGCTCATAAATAATGAACAACCAGCCAGCCACTTTGTTGATTTTCAAAGTGACAGAGGTCTTGTGAAGGAACGTTGTTGTTGTTTCTCAGGAGTATGTGTTTTGTTGATTAAGTTTTAATTTTCTTTTCTTTTGTTATTTAAGCTCAAGAGAACATGGAATACTGTTTTTTATGACCAGGGACAAAAAAAAAAGTTGGACAGGGTAAAAAGCAGGTAGAATAGAATCATACCAACTCTATTGTGGTTCTGCTGTGAAGTGTTTGAAGATAGATATGCTTGTAATTTATGTTTTTGTGTCAGTAGCATTTAAAAGATACTTGAAACCACAAAACAATATTTTCCTTGGAACATGTAAGCACATGGGCGGACCATCACATTGTTATGCTGTTATATGATGTGGTAACTACATCCAAATTAACACAGATCTTTTGTCCATAAATAAAACACTAAAGAATGTAAAACAAATCAAAAAGTGATGCCCCTGAGCCTATAATATATCTTACAATATATCGTAAAGGATAAAGTTACAAAACAAAACTAAAAAAAAAACCAAAAAACAAACTACTAGGACACAAATTAATATTCCTTATTCTTTTTTTTGCCTTTCATAAGTTCTGGAAAGAGACATGTTGTCTTATTTGTAATTACTGGTAATGTGTTCCGCTTAATCTGCAGAATAGTTTGAGGTGACATGGATAGATTAGGAAAGTTGATTTACAGCCAATACTTTTCTTCTCCGAAGAAGTCTTGAGGGACACCGCAACTTCAAACATAACAGCAAGATGCTGGACTTTCAGAAGGTTTTCGTGTATGTTATTCTACAGTGCGCAGTATCTGTGTTTTAGCAGGGGTTCAGCATGTACAGCAGAATGCCATAGGTGACCATTGTAAAACCTAGAGGCTTAAGTTGCTGAGCTTGGAGATGAGAGATGGAACAGGTTATTTGCTGTAAAAATGAAAGGCATTTTGTAACGTTTTAATAACCCAGAGCAATGCATCGGATCGAGGCTAAAATGACCAAATAAAATGATGATAAAAAAGTCTAGAGAATTTATAAGTACCATGATATGATATGAAGCCACCAGAAATATTAGAAAGGTTGCAAATAAGAGAAGGTTACTGTATGTGGCTTACTAATCTCATTTGTTTCTCCAAAGGCTGAACACCAGCAGCAGTTACAGTATACATACAGTACACACTGCTTGGAGAGAAGTGATATTAAAATGGCAAACCCAGAACAGTACTTAGACAATACTAGGAACAAGTCACTTAAGGCAGTAATAATATTGCCATCTGCACAATTGCCTCACCTGGGACAAATTACAAACCCTGTCTTTTTCTTTTGCTGAAGATACAAAGAAATAAGAAGCCAAGTAAAAGAAAAAGAAAGAGCACTGTACCATTCCAGATGATTTTCCACAAATGCTGACATGGGGCTGATCTGCACTGTGTATGTGTCATTAGCAGAATACTCAAACAGGCCATAATACGGGTTGAAGAGCTCCTGGGATAGCAGGAAAAAGAACTCCCTGGAGGGTCCACTATAGTCCAAGCTGTGTAAAAAAAAAAGATGTAATCAGATTGGGTGCAGCATTATTCAAAAATAGTATGGTAAACTAGAGCGAATCCGGAACAGCTGTGTAGCAATTGCTCAGAATTACACATAGCTAATATTGATAAATTCAACAGTTGTAGGAAATGGTGTTATGCATGACAATGGATGTTCCGATAGTAAACCTCGAGGTGCCATGGTTAACCTTTATCCACATATGTAACACAACTTTCGAATATTTTTAGCAAATCTGTAAAGCTCAAGTATTGAGAGATTTAGAATGTGAGCAACTGAGATTGCTGTAATTTTAAGATGGCTGATGGACAATATCTGGGTCATAAGGACAAGTCCATTGGAACCCCAATCACCATCACCAGGAGGAATGAACCAAGGAGCTGCTGCAAGGACAATGCTGGGGTGAAGGGAGGGATGCACAGTAGTGAAGGCTTTGTATGAGCACATGACATGCATGGGGATTTCCTCTGGAGCTTTCTGACTGTATTTTAGGGGTTCTTAGGTAGAAATGTGGAGTTGGGTACTTCTGAGGGGTTTTTATAGGGATGGGTAAGGGTTATTTTTATATAGATATTTTGTATTGTATTTTATTGTGTTTGGAAAAATCTAAATACAATTTGTTCCCTCCCACAAAATCAGAAACTGTATGTCTGAATGTTTAGTTTGATGCTTTGAAACTGTTAGTCAGCATCAATTCTAAGAATGGTTCTCTATGCCTACCACCCCTAAACATGATACCAACACATGCATAAGATTTTCATGATCAGACAACTTTTCATACACATACTGTACTGGCCACACGAGAAATTTCATGGATACAGAAAGAGCTAATGTAGAAATGTCGAGAGACTGCATGACTGAGTAATCCGCTTTTATTTTTTTCTGTTTGTACGAAATGCTGCGATGCAACGGTCACTCTTGCTGTGGATCTGCCTACCCCTCCTCTCCTACGAAGGTGACATAGAGCTTGTTCCTCTGGAGCTCCTTTCGTGAGTAGGCCATCACCTGATTAAAGGTGCCTTCCAGCAGGTGGTCTCGCCGGATAATCAACCTGCAACACACCAGTTAGTGATGCAGAGTCACAGGACTGAGACAGGACAGGTTTTAAAACATTAAACATCAGAACAGTTGCAAGACTCCCAATATTATTGATTATTGATCATTGTGTATAGATATAAATAGAGTACCTCCCTCTAGATGTAGTGTGTACTGAATATCAATTGCCAATGTCAAAACACTAAGTCCTTGGTGTGTAAATGGTACCAGGTACAGAGACTCTCTTAATTCCTACTATGTGTAGTTCACATCTATTATTAATATTTACAACAACAACAACAACAACAACAACAATAATTTTGTCATTTTCAAGCTTCGAGACTGGTTCAACTTTTCAAAAGACTGCAAAACAGTGTCAATTGCGGCTTTAGGAGCACTCGGCTATATGAAACATAATTTATTGCACATAAATAAACTTTATGAAAATTACGTTCTGTGATAGCATTATTTCAACACACCTCTGCAGTGTATGAGATTCAGACCCAGTTGGATTCTGTTGTAACTGTTGTAAAATAGGAGTGTCACAGTGAACAATTGTAGGCTTCATTTGCTCTTTTTGCTGAGCAGACAGCTTTATAAAAGGTGACTTATTCTTACATTACCTGATGACCCAGTCGGCCTCAAAATGTGCCACGTGAATATCTGTACCATTACACAGTGCCTTTTTATGTGGAGTATCTCGTGCGACACCTGTGACATGAGCTTACTTGATTTTTCCTGGCCCCTGGCCGTAGCCCTTGGCCTCCAGCTTCCTGTAGAAGTTGCGGAGCTTGGCCTCGAAATCTCTCCGGTACGGTGCAGGAGCTCTGGCACTAGCCCTCTGCAGACCTGCCGGAAAAAGCACAGCATTCTTACTTTCTACAGCCGAGCAGACCACTCTGTACATGAGCCTTAGGGGAGGTCGCCATGCTCTTCAAATGTCCAAAACATTCAGCATTTATAGGTTACATCTACTTACTACTTACATTTACAGCATTTACTGGACAACCACTGTGAATCTCTTATCTACAGTAGCTCTGACTTTCTCTCATTCGTCTAGTCAAAATTCATAACAGTCTCTTAATAAGCTTATCATAAATCTTATGATGTTCTGTACAGAAGAGACTGGCAGTGCTCACGTTTTTTTTTCATTTTGTTATTAATTTTCACATCATTTCGTGAGTGCTGAGTACTGAGTACTGTGAAAGTCACTATACAATGTGTGGATTCATGTGCTGTAGAGGGAGAAGTTATTCATTATGTAGAAATCATGTAATGTAAAACCATACAATGAAGAGTCGCTAATATACATTACATATTCACACAAAAGTATGGATTTTTAAAAACGGATAAAGATTACTTTACAGAGGGTCATTCAAAGTTTCTCACGTAAAATTTAAAGGTTGTCCCAGATGTTTTACTATACTGAGAAGCATTTCAGTGGCCCAAGGACTATTTCTACAATACAGAATGTACTGTATAATATCAGAGAGTCTTTGATGTACAGGCCTTGTATTATATGGACCACTTGTAGTCTAATTTATAATTCACACTATAAGAGATTTTGCTGACTTTGTTATGCTAATACAATTAGAGAGACAATTTTGAAATTATTTAGTGCTACAGAAGAATGTGCTTCTGATTTTCCTAAATTGCAAAAGCAGTTTAGCAGGGTCTTTGAATATGTGCTCCACAGTATCACGATGGAGAGAAAAATGTTAAATAAAAAAACACATTACATAAAAGGTGATAACTTAAGGTTTAGTCAAAGGCGGCATAGTCTAAAAATTACCAGAAAAAACAATATACTATTCTACTATATCCACATTCAGTATGTGGTTGTAAAACATTTCTTGGGTTGCTGGATTTGTTCCTTCTGGTGACAGTTAGCACCCGTCTTTGGGATATACTGATACTCCACTGTGTGTATGTTAAAGAGGTGATCGCACAGTTTACTGTCAGATGAGAGTTCGAACGCAGTTACCTGGGGAGTTCTGTGGTGAGGAGCCGGGAGAGTGGCGGGGAGAGAAGCTGTATCCAGGATGGAATGAGGAATGTGGCGGCACGTAGGACATGATCTCCTCTTCAAACAGGCTGAAACACAGGGCAAGAGCAACTCATGTGAGGGACACTAGAGCTCTAAGGGATCGGAAAACTGTCTGGTGATTACAGTGGTTTGGTCCATTCTAGTTTTTTGTTCAGACCTGTCAAGTCCTCCAATTTTAGTGGGAAAGCCCGGGCATACTGGATAGACATATTATTCCCCATGAAGCAGATACTCCACCAATAAGCAACAGCTAACTTGACCACTACTGTGCAGTATCTATAAGGTCTCTGACGTTAAATCAAAGCTAAAGACCTTTCTTTTCTTTACCTATAGTCTAACGTGGCTGCTGAAGTTCAGAGCTTGATTCTATTTCTTTTTAATCACTGTCCACTGTAGCACACTTTCCATCTTTTCATATTTCCACCGAAGGAACCTTGATGCCAAGTGTGCATGTTCTGAGGACCTATGACATCTGTAGTGCTATGTAGCAAATTTTCATGAATGGTGCTACAACCGATAGATTATTGATTAATTGTAGGTCAACCACCATCAACAAACTCCACAACAGTCAGACATCTAATGCACCCCAACATACCTCCTATGATTCCCACTCCCAGCTCTGTCAAACAGGAAATTCTCTGCTTTCAGCAGTTGGTAGATATGTTACTTTAATGGAACGAGATCTACTATCAGACATTCAAGATGGAATTGCAAGATAAGTTTGCAAAGAAAACTGCAAAGTAGGAGCTTGGATGCATGTAGGGAATGAGATTATAAAACATTATTATGAACCAGCAAATGTTTTCACATTAGTGTAAGAGAGAGGTATGATACAGCTCTGTAATATCTCGATCCTATAACTATCTGGGAGCCAATGTCAAGATCCTAAATTTAGAGAGACCTGTTTGTTTTTTTTTAATTTGGTGCTGTGCAGCAAGTTGGACAAACTGGTCTAGATATAGTACAGTAAAGGTTTAGTCTGCATGTGTGTGTCAATTCTTCTGTGTCCTGTGTTGAAAGAGATACTCTTATCTTGGAGATGTTACTAAGATGGAGAAAAACTAGTCTACATGTTCTTTGTGTGAATTATTTGATTAATTATTGATCCAATAATACAGCCTAATTATGTATTGAGGCATTGTGGTTGTGGCTTCTATGTTTAGATCAGACAGTGCAGTATTCTACTTTCCAAACAGTCAAATGTCTGTTTTTCTGAATATAACACAAGGAAATTAAAAATCATTTAGTTTTTTATGTCAGCAAGGCAGGAGGACAGATTATTTATGGTAATGAGATTTCATAGACAAATATCTATGAAATATGGCATGAGCATGGCTGTGAAAATTTACATTATGCAAATAAAAGACTGACAGATTGATTACCATTCAAGATAGATTTACTATATATGGGAATTGTCCATTTCTTTTTTTATCCCAGAATAGTTTCTCAGTCCTCAGCTTTCTTTACAGAACATCAAGGACACAGAAGATCAAGAAATAAACATTTCACACTCAGGCATCTTCTATGTTGTTAATCCTATACAAATCAGCCACCATAACTGTTTGTAAGAATTGATACACACGTCTTTTTTTAGTGAAATCGAGGAAAGCATGAAAAAGCAAATAATTTAGAAAATAAATGCCTTTAAAATGTTTCAATTCTAACTGTGAGTTCAATTTATTTTTCACTTGAATTACATTTCTGCTGATAATCTCAACAAATCTTATAATTTTAGAGAATATAACATTATGTACTGTATATGTACTATACTGTAGGTAGTTATTAAGAGGAAGTTGCATAAGTGGCATCTCTGATCTTCTTGCATTTTATTTGATGGCTTGTGTACATGAAAACATCCTCCATGTCCTCCACTTCTGATCAGCTCTAAAGATATACCCCCCCACACACCCCTGATTGTTAATCCTACGTGATTTATAAGTAAGATCAAAGCATCTAATGCCCCTACTAGCAGTGAATTACAGTGCATGAAGACCACAGAAATATAAAAGCCAAAGTCTCACCTCAATAGTATAACAAGGTCTGCATCACAAGACAGTTTCTCTACACCATGGGTGCCTTCAGTCCTAATGTAATGAATTTTCTCCCTGCAAAAAATGGCAGAGGATCATTTTTATTAATCTGTTCTCAATTTATTGCTTACATTCAAAACATGTTCTTTACTTCATACAGGAACTGAGGAATCAGTCTATAGTGTGATAAAGAATACATTAAGATCATTCATCTCTTCTTAGGACACATAAAAATATTAGGAAAAGATAACTTTGTTTAGGTATTGCAGACATCATATTTAAATGAACCAGTAGGGTCGAATCTCCATCACTCTAACTGCCTAACTGAAATCATGACAAATTTGCCCTATACCTGTAAATAACCATTATGAATAATTTCGGATAATAATTTGCTTGTGCAAAAGTCAGCAGATCTCATATAGAGCTTTTCAGAAAAACATTGCATACTGCATTTATTTCCAGTTAAGGAAGGCTTCTGCATTGCTATATGAATGAAAAAGCACAATTTTAAGTGTTCAAGTACCTCAGGGCATGATTTCTGGCAAGGCTTGGCTGCCTCTCTTGAAGCATCTCAACAATGTTGGGTTGGCGAAGGAAAGCAACTATCTTGTCATTATAGGCTGTAATCAAAAAACAAACAGAAGACATACTGTGTCATGAAGGTGTGAATACAGTCATGATGTCTGAAAGACAGTAGATTCACATTTAATTCAATGTAACTGTGGTACTGTATTATCAGTGCTGATGACTCCTATTGACTCCCACTTTCTCTCATTGACTGCCACTATCTCCTATTAACTACCACTGACTTTCACTGGTGATCGCTGTCTCCCATTGACTCTTATGCCATTTATTACATCTTTGTGCTACTAAAGGAAAATTAATTGCAAAAAAATATGAAGTCATTACTGCTGATTGAAATTTATCTAGTTGTCATGGACACATCTTTTGTAGCTCTCAATTCAGTACAAAAGCAATCCAAGGAAAGAAGTACAAAAACACAGAGAGACGCGAGACAGCCATGGAAATCCCCTGGCCTGAAATCTACTGTGTTGTAACTGTAGCGATCCAGCAGTCTGAATCTATTCCCAATTTCTTCTGTCAAAGAACGGGGATACAATTAGTGAGATCCCATATTGCTGCATTTTGATTCAAAATAAAGTGAGAGGCTAATTCGATGTCTGCAATAGAGAAGATGTCATTCTAATCTAGCCATGCCAAAGCATGGACAGGCGTGGTAAACATGATGTAGACTTTGCAAAAGTGTAGTAAAGCAAAGAAAAATACGGGCAAATGTAAAAATTGAATGTAAATATACCACAGTGAGCTGTGACAAAAAAAGTTGTTTTCCTTGAAAAGAAAAAGGGAATTATACATTTTATTGAGATCAGAAAAAAATATTTTTTTGCAAATAACCCTACATTAATAATAATCTCCATCTGCGATGTGAAGAGAACAGTATGTCTCGGCTGCAATATATAATTATACTGTACTATTTCACCTCTTTTGTATTGGGGCAACCTGAATTCTTGAGCAGAGGCCCACAATTCAAATACAATGAGGATTGTACTACTAATATGCCTTTTCATGGCTGACAGTTTTAAACTCTTTGCTCAGCTGTCAGCTTAATTACAAGTTCTCATAGAAAATAAGTATCTTGGGTTTCATTCCAAGTCCTGAAAAACAGGCTAAGTCACGAACATACTTGGGAAAAGAATTCCACAGCTAGTTGGTATGGAAATTAAAAACTCATAATGGCAAAAATATTTTAGCAGTGAATCAACCTCCACAACACAAAGATCCAAGTCTAAATACATCAGTACCCAAGATTAGGGTCAGGGCAAGGACAGGCATTTCTAGGTGATGCTGTAGTGCTTAACTGCTTAAAAAGTGAAAGGTCCCAATTTTTTATCTATGTAGTGTAAGGCCTCAAAGTGCAGAACAAGTATTTTCAGAATCTGGAATTACAGATCACTTGTACTACAACGTTACTGAATTACCATGAATGTTGTACACATACTGAATAACACTATTTCTAGGCAGTAATGTGTAGTAAGTGCTGGTGTTGGTTTATAAAAATATACTGTATATCTTTTACTATATCTTAACCTATATTTGAGACCTCTAGAAGGAGGGCTTGTTATATATGTATATATATGTAATATGTTCCCATAAAATGTTATCAACTGAAAGAAGAGAGCAATCAAATAAAGAAGAAGATAGTGGAGGAGTATAAGCAGTAACAAGACTGTCAACAGTCCAAAGTTAAACTTGTGTCCTTTCACAAACCTAGTGGTACTGCATCCTGGTGATACTGGCTTCTTATGGCTGCAACAAGGCTGTTGCCAGGACGTGTTAACAAAGATGCTCCTCGACTCCGTGACACTTCTGAAGCCTGCCAATCACAGTTAAACACTAAATCAGAGGCAGACATTAGGAGCCCAGTCACTTTCCAGTGTGAGACTGTAACAGGCATTAAGCATGAACAAAATATACTTAAACTGAATTTAACATGTCTATAAAATACCCAACACACATTATGGGAGAAAAACACATTTTTCATTGTTTTTTATTGTTAATGAAAAGCAGCTCAAAGGAAGAATACTTAGCATTGAGCTTAACAAAGCTTCTACATTCCTGGCTACAGTTTCCGATTAACTTTGAAAAGCGTCCACAGTACAGCCACCAAAAGCGAATGTGTAAACTATACTAAATCCTAGAGGAAACCAGAGATAAACCCAGTTACTTTTGTCTGCTGCAAACAACAAGGAAAAAACACTTCTCACAGCAAGTTACAGTACTTGACTTGCATTTCATTTCAAAGTCAGTACTGCCTTCACCGAATGTGCTTTTTAGCTGCCTATTATGAGTGTAGTGGTCAGAAACATGCCTGACTCTCACCTCCCCAGCGCTGTAGCTGCGGAGCCTCTGGAGATGCTGGCGGTGCGTTAGATGGTTCGGCAGCCGCCCGTTCTGGAGAGGAATCCTGGGATCAATGAATGTGGTTGCTCGACTGTTGTGGTCTACAAAAAATGACTGAAACGAAAAACAAAAGTGCCGGATAGATTTTGTTTTCCAGAACAAGGACAATCATCCACTTGGTCAAACGTAATGTTTTATTTTTTTCTGTAACCTTTTTGCACAAGAAATACTGTTACAGAAAAATGTGCTGGCATTCTTCCATTGTGTCTCCGAACGTCCTCACAAATACTGAGGAGGTCTTGGGAGACATATTGTATGTTTTCAAAGTTTTAAAAAAGTGTCAGCATTCAGAACTCGACAAGTGTTGATAGCATGTTTTCTGCAAGTTTCATTGTTACATTTCTAATAGTTTCTAAAGTACATAGAATGCTTGCAGTAAAAACACAATTTTTTAATGGTATGCCGAAACTATAAGACTGACAACATGACCACAGAGGAGGAATGTAACCCTTGATCTTAAAGCACAAAACCTGAACAAAGCTTCAAAGCTGCAAATAATAGTTTTGTGTTAAATGACAAGTGTCAGCAACATTGATAAAGAGGTTCCTTTCCAACTTTTACAATCATGTTTGGTAGCAAACACTGTATGAAATGGACTGACCCCCAGCCATTATGGAATGAAACAAACAGGGATACAGCATGTTGTGGTATGATTTGTTGTGGCTACCTTTCCTTGTTGGTCAGTTTTGATCTCCCAGCCCCGGGGCAACTCCAGCTGAGTGTCAGCAAACTTATTGAGGAATGTAACCAGGTCCCTGTTATGCTGATATCGCTCGAAGTTCCGGGCATCTCTGCGAATCTTCAGGATCATGTGCTTTAAACAAGTACTATTTGTAAACATTCGGTAAGCACCCTGAAATGCAGAACCACAAGCCAGAGAAGGCAGGTCAGAAATAAAGCAATTTTTTAAAAGGCATGCAAAAACCTTAAGATTTCATGTTTCATAGTACTTTCCCGTTTACATAGCCCTATAAAGTGATTATTGAGCCAAGAAAAAATTCACTTGGGCCTCAATGTTGTTATTTTAACATAAGAGACAAATAATTTGCAATTGAATATATTTTATCAGAATTTACTTCCACTTAAAAGTACATATTAAAATATCCATGCTACTGTATGTCACTATGTGCTTATTACTTACTGATAAAATATTATCCAACCTAATTCTTCAAAAGCACTAGCATACTGGTTCTGTCTCATGAGTCAGTGGTAAAGCAAAAAGAGCTCTTTGAAGGCTAGAAATCTGTAATTTTCTCCTTTATGACATATTTTCACATCCCAATTAGTTAAGGCATTGAAGAAGGAATCAAATGTTTATGAAAAGAAATATGATGTCCAGACATTAGGAGATGTCCAGAATCATGTCAAAAGTGTAAAATATTAATAAAAAATCAAAACAGTTTAATCTGATTTTGTCTGACAAGAGTACAGCTGGGGAGTCTCAAGATTGTCAGTAAAAAATCCTCAGTACTTCACTTGGCTGGGATCTACAGTCAAGTGAAGCTCTTCAGATCCAAAGGGAACACTGCTCTCTCTAGATAGCGCCTACACTAAACTGGTCTGTTTTTCAAGTGGCATGCTGTTAGGAAAATGATGAAAAGAGAACAGAAGGTGATGATACGTTTTTCTGCAGTCAACTGCAGTCGCCACTGCCTTCAGTCTCTAGATCTGACCATAACACTCACCACGTGACCATGAAGAAGTCAGGGGATTCCATGATGCTACTAGAAACATGAGCTAAAAAAGGAGCTGATATTTCTGGAAGTGCACAAGTCTCAGCAAATGGGAATTAATTAAGTCCTACACTTTTCTTTTTTCCATTTAATTTGTAGCATTTTCATACACAAACGTTACAGAAAAGCTGCTGCTGGTGTTGTTGTAATATTTTATTTTGACCTTTGTCTTGGACTAATTTCTGTTCAAGGGTTTCATCTTAGATTGTTTTTTTTTTCATGACATTGACCTGAGAAATCTTGTAGAACAGGTTCCTCAGATTTTGTTCATAAACAGTCAACTCCATATGAAACAATTACTGTGAATAAACGCACTGTTAATTTGAGTACATCAAGGATGTTTTTCATAAAACTGTAATAAGCATAAAAAACTGAATTCATATTTTTGTTCCATCGGTGAGATGAACTTAAACTTACTCACATAATTTGCATGGAGAACTGTGAAGAACTCAGGATGAGTGATGAATTTGACAGCAGGGGACTGCAGTAACAATGTGATCTTCTGACTGTTGATTGGAGATGAGGGACCTTCTCTTCTCAGTTCTAAAGGACCAGGAAAATTGTCATGGAACAAAGCAGCAACCTTGGTTAGTACAATAACAACTCTTTAAGCAGAAAAAGAAAAACACAAATCAAAGTTCCCAGAAAGGTACTGCTAGAAAGGTGTTGTATTATTCTAAAGCGTTTTCTATACCTGTGGCTTGTGGTGGAGAGTCATTGTCAGTCTCTGAGCTTCCTGCTCGTTCACTCCTCCGGCTGCTGGTCTCCTCCTCCATCCTCTCTGTTGCAATGGTCCTCTGGATGTTCTGGTACCTGGGAACGGATGACACATATTTCCTTCAAAGTACAGCCACCAAAACCAATGCAACAGATTAATCCTTAAACACCATCACGAAACAAAAGGCTTTCTGTTACATTTTTGTAAAAATCTTGAATTATAAATGTATGTGTTTTGAAACCAACCAGAGATGAAAATGTGTGTTTTTACGCAGTCGCCATTTCTCTAAAAACCATCCATCCACTATCAGAAAATTGCTTGTTCCTGTTGAAGGATGCAGTAACCCAGAACCTATTCCAGAAGCACAGTGGCCAAGGCAGGACTGAATCTACTCTCCCCATAAATCACAAACCAAAGAATAGAAATTGAATCCTATGTAGCATGTTTCTAGATACACCTTGAGCACCTTGTGAAATCCCAAGTGAACAAAGTGAGAACATGCAAACTCCACACTCTGGAATTGAACCCGAGATCCAAGAGCTGTGAGGAAGCAGCACTAACTACCAGGAACAAAAAATGTACAGCGTCAAAAATATTTAAACAGGTAAAAATAATGCCTCTTAAAAATAACAAATAGGAGATATTTCCTCTTCACTGCTTACTCAACACCATTCTTTTGTTACACAATGAACAGAGTTTCTACATGTACTTTAGTAAATGCTGTATTAACTAGCTTTTATTGCACAATTTCCTTATTCTAATTTTCATGTACTGCATTCATAAAGCTGCATTTTATAAGATGTTGTACATTGCTGTAGTGTAGTTGAACAATCATAAGCCCATTCACACACAAAAGACTATTCCTTTAGAAAACTGTGTTGTAATCAGACATTGTTTTAATGTCCCACAATACAATGGTCTGTATTACGTTCCTTCAACAGTGATTAAATTATATTATATGATTAAATATTGTAGTTATTTTGGGCACATAACATTTAGGTTCCCAAACACACATATAACATTTTTAGATGTAAAGGTAGTTTTATCTTAAGATGTTACAGTACTTCTAAAAGGTTAAGAACCAAGAATATGTCTACTTTTCCATACAAATAGGAAAATTTCAAAGAATGACATTTAAAATAATACTGTGCTCAGGGGTTGGTCTTAATGATGCTTCCATGTCAGAGATGAAAGACCTTAGTGTTTGACTTTTTTCTTGATTGAGAAGGAGGAACATCTCAGAAATACTGTTTAATGTGATTATCCTTCCCCTGAGAATAAAACAAAATGTAGTACAGTACTTACTACAAAATCTGTTTAACTGAGGAGTACCTCAGTCCATGATCTCCCTTCTGTTACAGAATGAACCCCCCAGAGATGCATGATAGAGTTTTAACTCAAATACTGTAAGTGGCATTTTCTGATACGTCTTTTCATGAACAATCCTGAGTACAAAATAAGTAACCAGGAAACAGAGAAGGTTATGAGTTCAAATCTGCTATTGAATCAGGACTGTCTAAAGCAAGGCAAGAGTATTAATTTGGTTATTATCACGATCTATACAGTAGTCCAAAAACTTTTTTGAACCCTCATAGGAATCATAATACACTTGAGCAATGCAAGCCAATGGAATCACAGGAGGTGATTTTTTTTCCTTTACAGTCATTTGATTTATTTTGTTCAGTCCCGGGATGTGTGAATCCCTTTTTACACTGTAAGTAAAATACATCTAGTTGAGAAGCTGAAAAGACTTAAGTTGAAATGAATAGATTTTAACATGAAACAACTGGAATCTTCAAAAACATTGCCTTCCCAGACTAAGAATGTTAGAGAACTAGATTAAATTAAAGAGTCCTCACTAAAAACTTGATTTTTCAGGGAAAGCCACTGGTTTCCATAGAAACAAACATCACTGGTTTTAGTAGTGGCCACAGTGTTTTTGTGTGTGGAAGTACTGTTTTTTAATAGGATTCTGGTTTTAGTCCATGCTGAAGGCATTCTGGCACATGACATGAGAAGAAACCAAAGCCACAAGACTTTCGCCTCACTGCTAAATTTATTACTTTTGTTGTCCGTAGACATCTTGGATATATTACTAAAAGATAAAGGCTTAACTTTCTCTGGCAAAAACACAGAATTGCAGACACCAAATTAGACAATTAGCTAACACTATAGCAGTAGCAAATACTGTAAAATTAAATGTAAAATACAATTCCAGACTGGACAAACACCTGGCAGATGAACATTCTGTGAATACAAGGGTAAGGTTTAACACATAAGGTAGTTGAAAATAAACTATAAATACAATATGGGAAACGCTAGAAGTGGCAATTTATGAAAAAGACTGGAATATTTATGTTTACACATCGCTTATATTGCTTATGACACATATTCTTCCAGAAATTGTGGGGAAGCAATAAAAAAAAAATGTTCGGCTATATATTTAAAAGTGTAGAATTCAAGGCATGTTATGTTGAAATATGTTAAAAATATACAATACACTAGTTTACCCACATTCAGAGTACTGTGTACAGTTTTGGTCAAGACTTACAGTAACAAAAATATGTTACTGATGCATTCTAGGACTTAAAAGAATTTCCTAAACACTATCTGAAGGAAGTGAACCTTTTTAGTCTTCAACAGAAAATATCACAAGGGGACCTGACACAAGTGCCAAAATCCAGAAAGCCATTGACAAAGTCAACACAATTGCCTTCTACAAAATAAACAATGAAACACAAACAAGAAGAAACTACTTGGAAGTACATTTAAAAACTGAGAATAAGAGGCTTGTCTTTACCCAAACATTTGTAGGAGTATGGAACAAGCAACCCTGCCATGTGGTGGAAAACCAATAATTTGCTTGGATGGCTTCCTCTCATTTGTAACCATTCTTATGTTCTTAATTAATTATTATGGAATGATAAATGTGTCAACTGAAATAAGAACACAGTGGGCAGTGGTCAATGACTTCTCATCACAAGAGGTTGTGTTAAAAATATAATGTTTAAAACAGTATTTCCTTTTTATCGCACAATTTTAACAACTGACCTACTGAAGATGTTTAATATTAGGAATTGTAATACAGAACATCTATTTTAAGATATAAACATGTAGTTTTTAAGCATAAAGCTTTAACATGCCAGAAGGACTAACAGCTCATCCAATCTACATTTACTAAACAAATGCTACACAGGGCTTCACCCACAGGCTACCAGTGAGAAACAAGAATATAGACCTAACCTTCTTGACTAATAAAATCCCCTCAGGGCTTCTGGAGCTCTTGTCTGTGAGCAAGTATATCAAAGGAAGCCATGAACAAAAAATTCAGTGGACTTTAGCTTTCAAGTTGCTAATAAAATTCATAAATAATGCAGGCCTCAGGTGCAGTTCCACCAGTAAGTGTAGGTCAGGCCCTGTAGTGTGGACATAACTGGTTTCCAGTCAAAGAGCAGTAAGTGTAGGTTGAGCCCTGAACGTGTAGACTTGTGCTCAGCACACCGGCTGAACTTTACAGAGGTTGGCCTGGATTGGAACCAGGGTAGCCTCATCTTACAGTGCTGCAGCACCCCCTGGAACTCTACAGGAGCCAGCAAGTGGGCAGTGCTGTCAGAGAGAGATGAGTCATTGCTCTAGTTATTGCTATATCTCCTGTTGGTACTGCAGTACTCACAGTGTCACAAATGGAGGATATCTTTGACAGATGCTTGTTTCATGTGCAAGGTCCTGACCGTTCCCATATTATATAATAGCTGGTTTATGGTTGTAAGCTGAGAAGGCTGGAAATTGCTGATTCTAAATTCGGTGGCAAATTGGACTGTTCAATTCCAAATTAATTCAAAATATATGCATGACTCCTACTGAGTCAAAGTTCTTGCAAAATAAAAACGAATTCTAGACAATTGGTGGCTGACATGTTTATTAATTCATAGAATCCAGTATATATTTTTCTCTGATCTCTAAAAAATCATTATTTTTCTTATTTTCATCCTCTGGGTGGCAGTATAGCACATCTGTGCCATGAGCACTACATACAGAGGCATACTTCATCCTGAATTAATCAATTCTTCCAATATAATGGAGATTTCATGTAGTGCTTCAAAGAAAGTTCTGCCCTGAACTCTACTGCAGTAAAATAAAGCTGTATAAACACAGTGAACAATCTGGATTTCCAGTTTTGGGATTTCTGATCCAAACATGGAAATATGAACTCATTTTATTCATGAGTAGTTCATGAATATAAATGTCCTAAAAAGTATATCTCACAGTATGTCTTTGCAATATTGCTTACTACACTTTAGTGCCTCCAGAAAGCAATTCTAATAAAAAAAGACAAACTAAAACAAATTCTATTTCATGCCATTTGTTCCATGCAGATGTAATTGGTGTATCTCATTCAAATCATAGATGTTCTATAACATTGCTACAACAGCTTTAGCTCCTTTCAAAGTTGATTCTCCCAGCACCACATAGTAACTATTAAAAGAAAGTGTAGTCTTTCCAGCTAAAACTGTACATTTTACAAGCAAGACTTAACTTGCTTAAGTTAACTATGCAAGTCTTAGTACTTAGAATCAGTTGTGGTCAACAAACCAGCTAAGCCAATCCGCCAGCAGCAGGGACTCTATCGTTACAGTGTGTGTTTAACCTGTGGTGTTTTATGCCCTGAAAACCATGCAGGACATTCAGGATTTAACCTTCACCTCCTGTTCAGTTGCTCCATCTGCTGCACAGAGCCTGAACGTTGGATCCCATCTGGAGTGGCTGCTGTGGTTGGCCGCTGCCAGGTGGTGGTCCTGTTGATATGGTCCACGTAGAAAACTCTTCCATGACTGTCAATCCTGGCCTCCCAGTCTAAAAAAGGAAAAGAAACAAAAAAAAAAACAGAGTTTGATAAAACCTGCTGATCCAAAAGTGTTTCAATAAAAAAAACCTTTGTGCTTTCTCCAGGAATTTGTATGAATTTCATATTTACGAACCACAGTGTAGCGCCTTGCAGTAATCAATCTGAGACAAGATAAATGTGTTGACACGTTCTTCAGCTACAGTCAGAAACAACAGTAAGAAGTAGTCTGGTGATATGTCCGAGATAGAAGAATGATGTGTTTACAATATTTTGCACATCTGTGTCAAACATTAAGCATGGATCAAACATCACCCCCAAATATCACCTGTCTACCTGTCTTGAGCAGCAAAAGAGGATTCCACACAAACTGATCTCTGGGAACCAGGCAGCTCAGGTAGTTAAATAAGGTGATGATAACATTAGCTTCTGAGGCTTGATACCCTAACTAGTCCATTGAAAATAGATTTGCTCCCCATCCTGTTCCTTAGGTACTGTTAGATACTGTTACTGTTATTGCTGGTGTTATACCTTGATGCTGTGAGAGCTCTTTGCTGGCAGAAAAAAAGGACGGGCTCATGTGTTACAGTATATACTGAGTAGAGTTCATTACCAGAGACAGCGACATACTGTACAGTAGTTTTTGTTTAGCCAAAGGCAACAGACACTAATTTGCAGTGCTGGTTACCACACTCAAAAGTAACTTTTTTGAGACTTAAAAAATAAATCAATTATAGAGAACATATGGAGGAAATTATACCACGTACAATGCACATATGGAAATTACAGACATACCAAGTACACACGCAGACTTGAAGACACGCAGACTTGAAGACGCAGAATTGTAACTGTATGGACTTTGTATTGTACTTGGTTTCCCCTCAACTTTGCTAGGATAGAGCTACAAATAGGAGAACTATTGCTTTATTGTTATTTTTGTGTGCCCTTGCAGTGTGCTTATGAGAATGCAGGATACATATCTGCTGTGTCCTGATTTAAGTGGATGGGTTTGGGGCAAAGCTAGATTATGATTACTGCACTGGTGGAGAATTCCAAGCCAATTTACCATCTGGTAAAGCTTGGAGAAGATAGAAAGCAAAAAAGGGCGAGGTACAGTAAATGGAGGATATAGGACCCTACTGGAGAGACTGCAAAACCATATATAATGTAATTGCTTGAAGACTGCTGCCTCTATCTGAAATAACAGACTAAATAGCAGCTGTTTAGTCTGGTGGAAGGAACAGGCTTTAGCAGTACTGATCCTACTATAAAGGATTGTGTCACCACCTTTAAACTGGATAGTGTCAAATTCTATCGCCCAGCTGTTTGGTGTAGAGGAATTCTCTGTTGTCTGGGATGTGGGGCTGTGTGGTTTGGAAGCAAGAACTGTGATCAAATTCATGTTGGGCCAGAGCAGCACTTGTACTATAATACCGCCTGCAATATTATTATTTGTTGTTTACCAGTGGTTCAGCAGCTAATGGACAAACGCTGCATATTACTTTTACCCGAAAAGTCACAAACCGCATTCCTACGAGCAACTCTCGCCACCCGCACCCGCAGACTAATTAATCAATTTTCATTCCTCGTTTTGGATTTGGATACTCTCGACCTGACTCTTGTTATACTCGACCTAGATCTTCTACCTTGACTACGACTTTTGCCTTTTGCACGTGGGATTTGGACACCAAACACTAACCGCCTACAGTCTCAAAGTCGCATAGGGTCCAACCAGGTACTCTTAATGTCACCCTTGACACAAAACTGGCAACTTTTACGGTGTATCTTAATAATATGTTAAACCATTTAGAGAATTCAGTGATGAAAACTTCATTAGCTTCTTACACCAAACTGCCTGATGTAACATTCACATAAAAAATGTTACATTTGTTCTAGGAAACGAATGGTAGGATTCAGACATAATAGACATGTATAAAAACTGCACACTGAAAGAGCCTTCAATACGTCAGGAAAGAAACTGTGCCTTATTTACCATTTAACAATTTCTTTTTTATACTAAGCACAAGAGAGTTTCTACTAACACAAGACAGGAATCAGCTATTGGAGCACAAATTTAGTCAAACCCTAGAAGAAACAGCCTCTGAGGAGCAAATGGGTCGTCTCATTTTCAATGAGTCCCGAGTGACTCAACCAGAAAAGTCATTCTCTCAGAGTGCAGGTTCAGTGTATAGTTCAGTTTGAGCATGATTAATTGTGACAGGCGTTCCTCAAATGGTGGTATAAAGTAAGTTCAGTGCCACCAGGGGCAGAATTGTGAATAGTTTTCCCAGAGAAAGCTCCCAGAGAAACAACAACTTCTGTGACTTCCTGGGCACCTACAGTCGTGCCATTGACATCAGTGAAGGATGGGTCTCTTTTTGAAAGTAAGCACGATGACCCAGCAGGGTTCTTGACAAAAGGCAGTCCCTATGTGGTTTCCAAATCTGGCCCAGTGGCACTGCATATTGGACATAACAAGCCCCCAATGTTTATTGTTCAGACTTCTTCAAAACACTGACAGATACTGTAATTGCTTTTAAAATACAACAGGCAATCTGGCCCTGGATGCTAAACTAAAGGATTTGTGCTGAGTTTTTACCCAGATAGCCTGCCAATGGAGTCAGGAGTGAACAAATCACTGGAAGAAGCTGGTCTTTGGTCTGTCTTATTGTGCCCTCCTGAGCTCAAAGACATCCAAGCTGGCAGACATCATGGTGGTGGTGGAGGGGAGTCCCCATTATCTGTAAAGCGCTTTGACTGGAGTGTCCAGAAAAGTGCTATATAAGTGTAAGCAATTATTATTATTATTATTATTATTATTATTATTATTAATTATCTATTTACGTAGGATGAAGACATTCAAGTACGTAGCTGTGTCAGCATGTGTAGGCTACAAAGGACAAATAAAGGTTTACTCCATGCTCAAAAGAGACCAAAGGAAACACAACAATATGGCTGTGGAGCCTTCTTCAGGTGAATGGAATAAACATTTACTTGTGCCTTACCATCTATTTACATCAGTGCAGGAAACAGGTGAGCTCATGGCATCTGTGATGAAACCCTTGTCTTCTACCCAGTCATTGTAACCCACTTTCCCATCTTCCCATCCCTCTTGGATCCCAGTGCTGGGTTCTGATGAGAAGCTTACACATCCTTACAGTGTGACATCAAACCTGGATCACTTGGGAGTATTTGTATTCCTCTCCTCTGTGTCCACCTGATAAACTAATGCTGTACAATATTGTCATCTACTGTATAATTCTGTTACATTCTCTGCAGCAAAATGTTGCGAAAAGCACTACAGCAAATGAAAAATTGATTGACTTGAAATTTATGATGGAGTAACACTTTTTTAAGCAATGCCACAAGAACATACAGTACTTTGTGGAATTACTTTAAATGTGAAATTCATACTTTAATGGCAGCCTACACAGCTACACCTATTAACTTTAATGCAACAAAGAAAACATAATATAATTATTATATACCATACAGATAACCTTTGCATTTCACTTGTTATTATTCTAAATTCTACAGTTTGGACACTAAATATGATTGGGAAAGGAATTTCTCCAAATAGCTGCACACAAGGCCCCTGTATCCCTGTTTGAACACAAGACGTTGGCTCGGGACATGACAGAAGGTCATGATATCACATTCAAGTGATAAACTGTAAATCAAATATTTTGAAATCAAATACATCAAATCAAAATATAGTTTGAAAAAGTCATATTGTTACGTACTGTAAGTTGAATGAACTCTGTCTGTGTGCTACAATAGTGGTTCTCATGATTTCATGTGTTTCATGAATACTGTAGATAAGCTCATCGCTGTAATCAGGCAGCGAATTTCAAGCAAAGATTCAACCATGACATCCAAGGAGCTTTCAATAGCAACTCAGGAATAAAGGACACAGATCAGGGTAAGGATGTAAAAATATCTTACCTTAAAAATATTTTCACCATTAAGACGTTGAAGGTATTATACTGTAATAGCATGTAGACACTGCTTGTGACACAGTGCCCTTCCAAAGTGAGCTGCCAGTCAAAGGAGGAAACTGGTCTGAAAAGCCAGAGTGAGTTAAATGTCCATAATAAAAAGCTAGCAGAATGGAAAGGAGGAATTTATTACTGAAAACAATTCCTGTATGGAATTTGCAACAAAGCATTTTACTGATACAGTATACTGCAAACATATGCAAAAAGGTTTTTTGGTCAGACAAGACAAAATTGGAACTTTCTGTTCTAAATGCAAAGCATTATGTTATTGGGCTGATTCTCATCAGTAAGGACAAGAATGCTTGTTAGGTTTGAAGAAAAAATGGATGGAGCAAAGTACAAACAAGTCTTTGAGAAAAACCTTTTTCTAGCTTTCTAGAGACCTAAAACTGGGACAAAAATTCACCTTTCACCAGAACGATGACCCAAAACACAAGGCTAAATCTATACTAGAGTAGCATAACAAGAAGAAAGTGAATGTCCTTAAGTGGTTCACTCAAAGTCCTGATTTGAATCCGACAGGAAACCTGTAGCAAAATTTGAGCACTGCTGTCCACCATTGGTGTCCCCAAACTAATTGACAGAGCTTGAAAAAGTCTGCATAGAAGAATGAGAAAGAAAATCCTACACTATCTTGTTGTGTGAAGTTGGTACAGTACTTATCCAAAAAGACTAACTCCTGCAACTTCTGCCATAGGGGATTAACCATGTATTGACTTTTAAGGGTGAATACTTAAACAATAAGCATATTTTTAATTTTGGACTTTTCTTTGGTGTTTTTGCTGATATCAACTTATTTTACCTATAAAAGAGAACAGTTTGAGACTTCCACATATTTTATCAGATTTGTTTGCCCAAGTTACAGTAGATTCCCATATGCTTAAAGTGTTATATGCTGCTATTCTGAAAGGTTCACTTTCAGATGTTAATACCGCCATTGAAAAAATACAAAAATCCCACATTTGTAATGTCTGTTAGATTTGCCCTGATGCCTCATGACGAGCTATATGTTAACGTGTTATAATGTGTCTGGATAGCTGTATGACCAAATTAGCCTGCCAGAATCAGACAGACTTTATTAAAAGACGTCTTATGTCTGGTAACTATTGTTGTTTTCTTTCACTGGATGCTGAGAGCTCAAATGGAAATATCTATGGTCACTTCTAGATATGGGTTTGCATTCAGGTTACACTAATACAGTTTACCTTTCAAATATGCCACTCTTATGCCACAATTTGTTTTAACTGGCAACAAGAGCTGTTGCCAGTTCTCTTTTCTGCTACAGTATGTGGTTTTAAGGAATAAGTGCTCAGATTATGCCACATTTACTAGAAATGTATTTCTCTTCTCTTTGGAGAAATAAAGTAGTTTACATTCCAACAGATATTTTTGTGATGATTTTTTCACACTGTTTCGGGATATGCAATTTAAATACAAACATCCTGCTTCTTTTTTACAGCATCACCTTTCTGCATTCAGCATGACTAAAGTGCCTCCTGGAGGGCAAGGTTGTATTAGAAGTTTAAAAAGGGACTAGCTTCCATATGCTTCTTTCTTCATGTTTTTTTTAGCAGTTACTATATGAAACATACTGTTTAAGAAACAAACTACAGTATATCAAACTGGATTTGCATTGTTACAGATGAAGAAATGTCCATTAACATTATTTGCTAAATTAAAAATTTTGGTTTCCAAAAATCCTAATTATCAAATGATCTGCTTAAAGGCTCCTCAGAGAGTGTACTAGGCCTCTCATAGATGCTGCCATCTTGGAGTGATACTGAAATTCTTATTGCATGGTACTTTTGTCATACAGTAGCTGTCCATTCTTATTTTTTGGGTCCTAAGGTAGGAAACTAAGAGGGGGTTACTACTGATGGTGGGAAAGGCCATTTGAGGGGATAGATATTGAAATGGAATATTGTTGATTTTATTATTTGATGTTTGTAAAAAAACTGAAATATTTCCTCAGAAATCAAAATGCATAATTAAAATTACATTTGGACATGATTATCTTATTATGAAAGCAATAACATGCTCAGTAGAGGTATTGATATTTTAAATGTAATTGCCAAATGCCCAGCAGGAAATTACAACTGAGTTGGTGTCACGATTGTAGTCCCTCCTCCTTAAGGGTGCTCCTGCTCTTTTACTTCGGACCTAATTTTGTGCACATGCCCCTTGTTCCAGCCTCCTTCCCATCCCCCTTAAAAGCCAGACACCCACTTAGTTTGGGGCTCTGCACTGATTCCCATATCGTGCGAGCCCGGGACCTGTATTTGCCTGGCTCCGTCAGGTTTTTAAGTTTCTGTTCATGTTTCCGTTCCACCCCGCCGGTTCCGACCCGGTTCCTGTTTTTAACCCGTCTGTCTCGTATGGATTGCCTGGCTTTTGGACTTTTGCCCTGTCTTTTGGATTTCCCGTTCGTCTCATCCTTGGATTGTTTGCCCCGGACTCACCCCCCTTGACACCTGCACACTTTGGACACGCCCCCCCGTATTCATTCCTGATTCCTGCATGGCTTTTTCCCTTGTTTCTCACTCAATCCCGGATTGTGTCGTCCGCATAGGGTCCAGAAAGAACTTTGTTACAGTTGGCTTTGTTGTTTTTAGAGCCCTGGATAAATGCCCAGTTTTTCATAGTGAAAAACCAAACCAAAACCTGAACAGAATTATTGTTCACTGCAAAACAACAGTAGAACTAACAATATTAAAACACTGAAGCTTTCAGTCATAACATTCACTTGATGTATCACTTCCACCAAATATGGCCTATATTTTACATTAATATTTGATATTATGATTCTGTATCCTAGAACTCTGCGCTAGAACAGGTATTGACTGCTGAGTACTTCTGTGTCCATCACACACACAGGTGCTGAGGACTTAACTACAACACAGTCCATTCCTGTACTGCACTATGATAAGCTCTGAATGGTGTTGTTGTAAATGCAGACAACACCTTTTTGTGCTAGTAACCATGAAAACTGGGATATGAAAGATAAGCCAAGGTAACTGTCTTACAGAACCAGGAAAACACTTGTGTTCAGTGCTGAATTACTGTAAACATCACCATTGTGATGCACACCATTGATTCAATAGTTTTATGGTACTTCACCACAGACTTTTTTCACAAACACATATCCATCCAATTTAATTCCTAATCTTCAATTTAAGAAACGTGTATCAAACAAATAAGTATAGTCCAATTGAACTATATAAAGTATGTTTTTTATTTACACAAAATTAATAATGCAGCAAATTTAATTTTGTGGAATGAGATTACTAGTCTTTTTGAGCTATTATTCAACAGAAGAAAATGTATTTTTTAAAATGTTATATAAGAATATTAGAATCAAGAGATTGTGTATGTATTCTATTAATAATACTAATAACAGATTAACCCAATATTTATTAATTTGCAGCAGAAACAAAATGACAGCCTATAGTGTGTTAGTGTGTCAATTTTTACAAAAATACAGCATTTTCTGTTTGAGAAAACACAACTATTTCATAAAGTCAAGTTAAAGAATGAAATTATTAGTATAAAATAACAGTTTTATTTCCTAGTGGTGGATTAAATACTCTGCTTGGTAAGAATATCTGTATACCTCCTTTTCCAAAAAAATGAAAAACACCTACTCCACACTTAAAGTTTTTTTTTATATTACTTTTTGTCCATCACCATTTTCTAACTTTATTGCTAAAAGAATAGGTTAACCATGAAGCTACAAGCAGGGCTGAACACAAAGTGAGGTCTGCTTAAGGTTCCTCTTCTGCTTATATGCTCATATGACTACATAATGTACATTCAAATACTCAGATCCATGAGAAGTCGATCAAAAATGCTGCTGTTACCGTACTTGTCCTGCTAAGTAAATTCAGATCTCGATGAAAAAAGACTTAATAGTGTTATCTCATTTTGTTAATCATTCTTCATGAAGCCTGGCTCTAACCTACACGACAGCAAGATTGTTCTAGTGTATCAATGTCAAAGAAGATTCAGAGCTACTGCTGTAATTGCTACAGTAGTTGAAAACCACGCACTGCTTGTCTGGGCACTTGCATTTAGGCCTCTCATTGTAGAAGGGCAAAAACTGCAAGAAAATCAGCTTTTTTGGAAAAGAACCCTTAATCAGTGTTAACTTGTATGAGACATGGAGGATTTAACTTAAACTCCAATTTAGGAGGATATTTAAACAAAGCTCAGAACAGTGAAAATGCCTGACGCTAGTAGGAATGACAGAGGTCAATAAAGCCAGATGGAATGAACACGCAAGCAGCCCTCTGAGACAATGACAGAGAACATACAGTACACAGTACAGTCCACCACCCAGCAGCCCTCCACCAATGGCCATGCGTGGCCCTTGTGTGCTGGCTACTGCGGACGACAGAAACGGATCCTAAACGCAGATGGGGATGACACAGGAAAGCTTACTTGGTGGCAACGGTTCATCGATAGTTGGGTAATGGTGGGGATCAGGTCGCAAAGCAGGAAGCTGGCTGACTGGAGGATGACTGCATGGCAAGGGGCAATTGCCTACAAAGACGAGAAAAACAGAATGATTTGAAAAGCAAGATAGCATGGGAAACTATGAAGTTCACTGGCTCCTTTTAGCCTTAAATTAAATCCGCAGTGATACACAGTTTCAGAATTGGCCTGTCCAACCAAATGCAAAGTGTTTTTTTTTTACTGCTGGCGTTGTAAATAAACATGGGGGAAATGAAATAACCAAGACGTGATTATTCCTTGTTTGGATGCTGCATGAGTAAAAAGATTAAAATTTTATAATGCAATCTTAATTAGAGAATTATTCTTCTAAGCAAGCATAAAGTAGATTATGCCCTTGTATTCTGACAACAGAAATTGCAAAGATTTAGAACTGCATTGCATCTCATGTTAATTGTATCATTTTTCCCCCCAATGGACTGTTAACAAGCTTACAACCAAAAAGGTTGCACCTCAACACTCTATGAACAGGAAAAAAGGCGCCAGAAATACAGTATGTTGTTTAAATACTGTATAAGAGAAAGTCTGTTCTCTTGTCACGAATAAAAATGGATTATGCTACTGTGTCTGGAGGTTGAAAAGGTTTTACTACAGTGGGTTTACAGTCTCCAGTCTGCTAAAGTGATTTCTGTTGTGCATTCTCTGAGTTTGTATCAAATTGCCCATGATTTGTTTTTTTCCTAGAAGCAGAGGATTAGAAAGAAGTGGTAGAAGCCCAGTACAAGTGGAACAAGGTACCAGTAGTTGTACCAGCGGTAGAAGCGCAGTGAGTAAAGGTTCTTTAGATCCTTATGTCATGTTAAACTGGAGGCAAGAAAATAAGGAAGAAGTTAAAACTAACCCAATGAATCATTTATTTGAGTTCTTCTTTAGGACCTAAACAGTAGGTGATTCAAAGAGACTGAGATAACCAGCCTGACTGTGGCCCCTCTCCTGGGTGTCACGAACCGCACTCCCACGTGCACCTCTTGGCGTCAACACCTGTGTCCTAGTTAGCCATTTGCACTGCGCTTGCCCTTTTCCCCATTTAAACCCACTCACTCCTCTCTGTCCTCGCTCACTGTTGAGATCGACTTAGCCTTTCTCTTGTGCACGTACTGATCTCTGGATACCGACCCTGTTTAACCTTCAGCAACGTCTTCATCTCTGTCTTGCGGCTCTCGGATTTGGATACCTTTCCGACCTGACTACTGGATACCCAACCCTGCTCCGTCCCCAGCTACGCCTTCGTTTCTCTCTCTAGCAGATTTTGGATTTGGATACCGTACTGACCTGACTACTGGAACCCGACCTAGCCTGTCTACCCGACCTCGCATTCAGTTTTTTGCCCTTTGGATTTCTGGACATCTATTTCTCTCGGCAACGCTTAGGGTCCGATCACCTCTTCCACAAGTCCCTAGTGACTATTGTGACACTGGGTAGGTCATGTTTTTAGGACAGGTAAAAAGATAAGCAGATGAGATATGAGATTATGAATGGTGGTCAGCCTAAGATACTGAACTCTACTGCTCAAGACTGGGTTATTGCAAACACATGGCATGAATAAGGGGATTAAAAGTTATCATGCAGACTGACTGAACCTTCAGTTGCTGTTCTTTCTTTTTTTAAACTTGAGAGTTTTTATGTAGTTTTATTTTCTTTCTAGCCTTTTACTGTACATTCAAAGGCATGTTCCTGCCATTTTTTATAGATATGTGATTGAGGAAGCAACTATGCCTGAGTAGGGATAACTGAATAGCTCAGTGTGAATACACTGAATACAGTTCACTCAGTGAACACAGTCTATAGTGGGCAATAACTGTAAACCTTGTGCAATGAGTGTCCTAGAGAACATGTAAGAAATTACCATTATTAGACTTATTTGTGGAAAAAGAAAATATCATGTCACTATTCATGAAAAAAAACACCACCACCTTATCAGATTGATAAAAAATGTTTGGGTTTTCCACTTTCAGTAAGTCAAAATATATTTCATCTTAAAATTGAAACTGTATAAACAGTAGCTGTGTTTTACAATACTTTGAAAATAAGTTCCATTTCCGTACGTACCACCAAGAGTTTTGGGTGTCATTCATAATTCTCTTTGATATACAGTATATACTGTAAATCACTGAATGTTATGCTGCTCCAGGTTATTTGTACTTCTTTTGTCAACAATCGCACCTAAGGTTAATATTGCTGTTTTGATATCAAGGCAGGTTTATAAAATAACCCAAATAATAAGACGAGACTGCAAAATGGTGTAGCAACCAACTCAGATTTAATTCACTAATTCTGTTTTATCTTTCATGAATTTGTATGAGAAAGCTATGTGAGCACCTTGGCTGGTATTGCTCCTGTCAGCATTTGTCCTTATTTGAAATGGCTGTGCTGAATGTTAATTTGAGCAAAGAACTATAAATTGGATGCAAACTAAGGCTTGTTTTAAATATAGAGCCAGTAATGAACAGTGGTTCTTCAAATTGCCAGCCTATCAGAAATCATTCGGCAATTTATAAGTATTTCATGTGTCAGCACTGGACTGTACATGTTATTCAATGCTCATTTCCATTTATTCAATGATTTTAAAGAATTCAAAAAATGAAAAAAAAACGGGTTGATACTGTTCAAGAATCTACTAAAACAAAAACAAAGACTATGTCATATCATATATACTGTATGTGTAGACATTTTTCAGGCTTATCCTTTTTAAAAGACACTGCACCTCTAACATTTAGAAAACTTCAGAAAATTGAACAAACACAGAGCACATTGAGCATTCTAGTAGGAATACAGGAATCTGCATTAAAATTCAAGCACAGGAGAAGCAGAGCCACTAGTGAAAGGAGGATAGATAAAATGCGATGCCCAGCTCTCTTCATCATGGAATTTAAAGTACTGTACCTACCAGAATCTTTAGGAGGTGGGAGGACACCAGAGTACCAAGACAAAACCCACACAAACATGGAAAGAACTTCACACACAGAAACAGAATAAATAATACTTGGAAAAGCAATTTGATCCCTCTTAAATTGATAATAACCATTGATTGAAGGCAAAGCAATTACAAAACGAAAACACCAAGCAACAACACTTTCTCAAACCTTTAAAAAAAACCTGCTACACTAACCAGACCAAGGTGGTGTACCGACATTGACTGCCAAAATTATCAGTAAGTTCAAATCATCAAAATACACTGCAGGTTTCAGATCAATAACCCTGCTTTGTGGGCTTTCGGAAACACCACCATCATAACTGAATAGTAAAATAATAGGATTTCTCAATAAGCCCCATCATCCCAACAGTTCTGTGCGTGGTATTTACATTGAAATATATTTTATAGAAACATAATTAACATTGTGGGAAATAAATCCCCGACCAAAGCAGACAAGATAACGCAATTCCATAAACACAAAGGAATTCGAATTTGTTTAATCCTGGGAAATCTGAGGAAAAAAAACAACATATTTGGATAATGCAACACAACTTTGGAAGCACAAGAAAGAGCTGCTAAAATAGAAAGAGACAGAAGTGATGGAGCTTTCTAAAGAAAATTAGCTTGCATGGACAGTAAAAGCATCACATACTGATTCCGGGGGTATTCTGCCGCGTGTAAATGCACTTGTGCATTGTCCGTGTGAAAAGTTACAGAAGCCAGTCAGGGGTGCGGGCTGCTCACCTTGGCCTCTGCTGCTGGGACCTGGCACAGGGGACTCCCCGCTCTCCGTGTTGCTCTGGGGGCTTTCCTCCTGCGCTGCTGGCTCCTCCTCCCACTGGGCAGTGCCGTCTCCAGGCTCTCTCTCATTGGTCTCGGGGCTCTGGACGGAATCAGGCACCGATTCAAAGGCGCTGTTCTCCTCCTCCTCTTCTTCTTGCGAGGAGAAGACGGTGCTCTCGGAGATGCGGGGACTGTCCAAAGAGGAGAAGCGGGTGTGACTAGAGAAGCGGTTGCCCCCCTCGTAGCCCGAGTTGCTGTAACAGGAGGTGCTGTAGCAAGAGGTGCTGTAGCAGGAGGTGCTGTAGCAGGAGGTGTCACACAAGTCACAGTCGTTCTCCCCCGGCAGCCTCTGGCTGGACTCGCTTTCGCTCTCCAGATGGGGCTGCTCACTCTCCAGCAGCTGGTTCAAGTCTGAGAGACGCTCGATTGAGAGGCTGCGGGGCAAAGTCCTCCTGCCACAGCTGTCTGTGTCCATGGTAATGCTGTGGGACTGTGTCTCAGAGGAGCTGTCCTCTGTTGCATCCTTGTCTTCCACAGGTTTCAACGTCAGTTCCTCCGAGTCCAGGGTGCTGGCGTCCTCTTCAGCTTCATCACTCATCTGGGCTGAGGGCAGGCTGTGAAGCAAGTGATGGATGCGAATGTAGTGGGTGCGGGGAGTTTCAGGTTCCCCGCAGGCTGATGCGATGACTGTCTCCAGCTCAGAGACTGGAAGCGAACAGGGCCTGTTTTTGCGTTTTGTGGCTGTTCTCATCCTCAGGGAACACCCCTCAGCCTCTTCCTCCTCCTCCTGTTGCTGCTGTTGTTGCTGATCCTCTGCGTCTCTGCCTGGCTCCAGAATGGACTTATCCTCTGCAGCTGCCTCACCACCTGTCTCCACTGCTTCAGCCGGAGTGTCTGAAGGAGCCTTCTCTGCCTCCTCTCCCTGTGTACTGGCTTCATTTCTTGCATCTTCCACCTGGGCACCAGCACATGGTGGTGGGGTTTCTGTCTCTGGCTGTGGGCTTGCTGGCAACTGCATTCCATTTGGTTCCTTGTCTTCTGGCATAGTCATCTCCTCAGCAGGGCTCTGAGTCTCTCCTTCCGGCTGGGATTCACTTACAGCCAGCTGGCTGATCTCAGTCATCGATGTCCCAGCTACAGGACTACAGGAGCCAGCGCCAAGAGAGGCTCTGTCACTCTGGTTTATCTGCTCTGGGTCGTTGGGCTCCATGTTCAAGTTATCGTCAGTCTGAGGTTCACAGCAAGAATCTGTAACCAAGTCCTCTGCTTGATCTTCCTGGGCAACCGCAGACTCTGGCTCAGTGCTAATGGAGACTTCTTCATCATCTGTCAGGAGAAAGAAAATTATTGGTTGACTGCTCCTCACAGCCAAGCACTGAGATCTCACTGCAGTGAGTCACTGAAAATATTGACTTGTCACACAAGAGATAATGAGTAGAGATTTTTTTATGGTTAAATATTTTAACACAAGTGCAATTTTCATTTCTCCCTACATCACCTATACATTTAAGTTTATTATTTGCCTCCTACCGTATGTTCCAGAATCGCCATGAAAAAGTACCACAAGCCCATCTAAGTGAAATACTACACTGGCAGGCATTAGATATGCAAGTCTAATATGGTTTTAGACTGCTTCTTCATTTCAGTACGAGCCATTTAGGCGTACTGATGGGGCACAAGTGCAATAAGTCACTACATAACAGCATTTTATTTAAAATGATTTCCTGCTCATTGCGAGTTTCAAAATTGTATTTGTTACAAAATTGTTTCCAGTAAGTGTACATCTCATATTAGTACAAAAAGCTTATTAAAGTATAAAAGATAGAAGATATCTTATCTTCTAAAAGAGCACCAAATAAATTAGAAATATTTCAGTATTTTTTTCACCATTCCTGATATAAGGGAATTGGGATGAATTATTAGGAATGATGACATCATCATATGGGGAGTCTTATCTGAAATCTATTAGGAATTGTCTCCTAAGGTTGTATTTGCCATCGGTATTTTCCACTTCAGTGGAAGATTTTTCACTTTTGGGAGTCAAAGACTAGCAACATTTTTTCCCAAACGTTTCTCAATATGGTGCATGTCTCTTCGACAAAGTTAAAAGTGAGAGAATAAAAGAGAGAGAGGAACAAGTCATAGTTTAGTTTAGTCATGTCCAATAGAAGATACCATTGAGACTGACAGGACCATCAGATGAGAAGAGCCGAGGATCAGACGTACCTTGATGAATGGACGATGTTATCTCAAATCTGAACTGCAGCTGTCCACTTACATGGTCTGTCGGCAACCTCCTGCCCAGTGTGTAGCTCACAACCCTGTCACTGCAGAGAAAAAGAGCCACCTCAGAAATTCTGTCCAATCAGTGGTGCTGCAGGAGAACCTGCTGGTAAAAAAATCTCCTTTCTTTCAATAAAAATGTTTTTTTCATTCTGCTGTTTTGAAGACCTATATAAAGTGGTAAATTATCAGCAATAGGCATGCAGAATTAAGCACTGATTTTTGTCTTTTGGGATGAAGAATTTCATACAGAGCCTGGTTTTACAATATAATGTATAGGCAGCCTGAACAGTAAACATCACTAAGCCTCTGGATATATAGGGAAATAAATAATAACATTAGGGCCGATATATATATATATAGACTGTATAATTATATTTGAATAATGCATTTCTGTTGTCAGTTTCTTTATAGCTGTATCTCAGAATCTGGTGTTGATACTGCAGTTATCTCAAATTGCTTGATATACATTTAATGTGTAATGAGATAGGCATCGAATGTGCCAGTTCTAAAAGTTTAGATGTGACCTGTCGACAAGAATCACTTCCACTGTCACAATAAAAAAGTCAACCTGTCAGAAATGTTTTTTTACTATGTGTGTTTTCCTTGAGTCTAGTTTAACCCCAGTAAAATAAAAAAGTACTGTAGAAATTAAATCCATAAGTTATTTGCAATCTGCAGTGTCAACAGAAATATAGAATGGAAATGTAGAGGAAACCGTATTCTTTATATTTAAGGGCCTGAAAAACTGTTCTTATACATTTGGTAAAGCCAGTGCCAAAACAATATGCTAAAACCTGTTCATTGATTTGATGGCACTCTGATATCATCTAGGAACATCAAATGCAAAAACAAATTAGAACAATTTGGATGCAGTTGTCTTTATATGTTTTCTTTTGCAAAAATGTATGCAAGTCTAAGAGTTTAAGATATAGCCAGTTCTAGTGAGGAATACAAAGCCTAAGAGATTTTAAGAGATCAGATAAAGGCCATTCTTCCATACACTTACAGCAATAAGAAAATGCATCAGCAGTCAAGAGGGAACAGCTACCGTCATCACGGATTATCTTCTACATCTCATGTAGATATAATGGGTGTGATTTTCTAAGGATGCTACTTTCAGACTACACGCTTTATCCATGATCTGATGGACTATGAAAGCTGTCCAAATCTGTACATGGTTTTGGCAGTTTATCAGTTTAGATTAACAGCTTACCATATTTATAGGTGCTGTGTTCTGGTGTTTCACCACCTTGCCCTGTGCTAAGACTTGCTTTTTCACCATGAGTTAGAACAGTAACATGCAGTCTGCATCAATGTACATTCAAATAATAATACGTAATAAGTTTTTTTTTCAATCAAACTGGTTGCTCTGTAATTTGCCTGTCCTGGTTCCTCTTGCCAACTGCGGGATTAAGTTCCTGAAAAACCCCTGTGGGTGGTAAAACTTCAGTTGTATTATATTTGCATGCATTTGAAATAGGGGGTTATGTTCCCATGATCCATGTTTCACTGATCAATGGCAAACATAACCTGGAGATTTAATCCTTTTAAAATGAATATAATAATAACATGTACAAATGTGAATAGAATTCAATATACTGTACAAAAGTAATGCATGATAAGTCATAGATTAATGGAATACTATTTATAAGATCACTTTTTAGCCATATACAGTACAATTTCGTGCATTAGGTATTTGTCTTTTCGCATACCCCAGCTTACTCTCAATGAGACACAGACAGGGAGAAAAGCTTGGGGTCAGAGCGCAGAGTCAGCCATTTATACAGCGCCCCTGGAACAGTTGGGGTTAAGGGCCTTGCTCAGGGGCCCAACGGAGTAGGACTCCTCTGCTGGCCATGGGGTTTGAACAAGCAACCTTCCAGCCACAGGAGCAGATCCTTGGCCACTGGACCTAGGATGCGAACAGTGTTGAGTTTGTATGTCCTCCCCCTGTTTGCATGGGGATTCTTTAGGTTCTCCAGTTTCCTCCCACAGTCTAAAAACATACTGGTAGGTTAACTGTCTTCTAGGGAAATTGGCCCTGGTGTGAATGTGTGATTGTGCCTGTGTCTGTCTGCCCTGTGATGGACTGGTTTGTCGTCCATTGTTTATTCTGACTTAAGCCTGTTGCTTGCTGGTATAGGCTCCAGCTCCCCCATGACCCTGGAAACCAGCATTACATTTAATGATAAACCTGAGAAATTGTAGATAATGAAAAAAAAAACATACATTATACAAACTGCGAATATGACAATATTGAACATAAAGGAAGATGTCCTTTTGAGAACTCAAACACATCATTAGTTCAAGCTGTATGCGATAGCTGGAAAGGTCAGTGTCATCATTAGTACAACAGTGAGGGAAGTGGTCTGACTTCAAGCGATGAATGGATTTGATTATGGAGTCACCACGGCATGCCATTTTAAAAAAGAAGTTCTTGTGCTTAATACTGATTTAATCATTAAAATTAATTTTATTTTGAAATGTTTGAAGCCCATGCATAGTTTTAGTGTAATTAATTCAATTCTGTAAAGACAAAAATGTGTCTAAAAATTTTTGTTCAGTCATTATTAATATTCAGTCTTTGATGTAATAATGCATTTCTAACCTTTATTGTAACCACAAAAACATCAAAGTAAAAGAGATCAAAGCACGGTGAAACCATGGAACAGTAAGGTGATTTATCATTAAGGTATTTGGCTACTAATTATACTAATTACTACATACTGTAGTACTAATTACTAATTTATTTGGCTGATGCTATAATTAAAAGAAACTTTTACTGGTACTAATTTAACCAGCAAACATAAGTAAAGTACCATTCTCAAGAATACAACAGCTGTACTCCACCCTGGATTTAAACCACCAAGTTCAAAGCCTTACAAACTCTTCAAATAAAAGCAAGGGCAGAATGAACTAGAGGTACTGTATGACATTAGCATGGGAAAGCTGTGAAAATTCACAATTGAAAATTTGCACAAGGGAAAATATGCACAATATGGGAGGGTTACAGTAGTTCTCTGCGTTTGTCCAAGGTGTAACGGACATACCCTATTGCATGTCTTTCCAGGAGCCTCTGTACTGGCATGGACAGTTTTCCCAGGAAGCGCTTGATGATTGGTCTGCTCTTAGCAAACTTATCCTTCACCTCTATCTCCAGCACGTCCGTGGGCAGTGAAACAAAGTTGAATTGCTAAAGGAGGAAAAGGAAAAAGAGAAAACGGAGCTGTTGTTACACTTTACTGCCTCCTCACAATCTGGTGTGGTTCATGTACACACACTGTGTATGGAGAGTATATACTGTATGTGCATTATATACTGTATATAAACTACAGGTGTTATTTTTATTCAACCTCTTCTGTCAGAAGTGAATATTGCTTCATTAACTTCATATCTATATACACAGAACACTGGTGCAGTATATTAAAAAGGCAAATTTCTGAACTGTCAAGTCTTTTGATAATACTTCTACACATTTCTTACAAATATTAGCACTTTGGCCCAAGTGTTATTTTTGTAACTCAGAAGTCTTTAAAAAAACAGTTATTTCTTTCATTTCATTTTCCATTTAAACATGTGAAGAGAAAGGATACTTTATGCACATTCTCTATAGAACTGACACCTAGTTAATGATTAAATTAATGTCTAAAAAAAATGACAAATCATTTTCTCTTTTCTGCTGTTTGAAGAAGTGTTTTAGTCTTCTAGACCGAGCCTGCAGACAGCAGCTGCAGCACCAATGCCAAAGGTACAGTACTTAAGACTTCTCACCGGTTGCTGTATATACAGATTAGCACATCTAGAACTCACAATAAGTCTTAGTTTGTCCCGTAGTTACCTGTATAACCACAAGAACTACTCAATGAAGTAGTTTAGTCCCCTGTACTAAATATCTACTAAAATATGGATGATAAATCAATAGTTTTAATGTGAAATGCAGTACACAACAATGAAATTTAAAGAGAAGACCTTGTACAAAAACAAAATTTGCTCAAGTAGTAGTAACTCTACTGTACCATCCAAAACACTTCAGCAAATATCATATGCACATACTGTGTAATGTATATACTGATGCACTAAAACACACCACATGAAAAACATGTTATAATTAAGTAGTGTATTTTAATTAAATAGTGTAATTTTCTAAACATGCTAGACAAAGATGTTTTTTACCATTTAGTTTTCAGAAAATATTTGTATGCCTGAGAAGACAAAACCTTTTGCTGCACAATATTTCCAAACCTACAGTATATGGTGGCATTGGTTTTCAGATGTCCAGAGGGAAAAGTACTATTGTATATACTGTACCGGCCCTCCAACACTACTTAAAACAGCCACCAGGTTTTCTACGGAGTTCTCCCATTACAGGCCCAAACTTGCTTAGCTTCTAAGATCTGTTCTTAACTACAATTACAAGACTACAAATATATTTTATTTCACAGCTCCTGACAGGAAATAAATATGTTAAGAAATGCAAGTGGTTTTATTACGTTACGTTCTGCATTATCAAAATTCAAATTGAAACACCTGGAAATTTTAAAAGCCAGAGTTTACACGAAAAAAATGTAATACTACAGTATATTTCCACATTATTTTGATTGATCCAAAACATTCTGGTACTACACAGACAGTTAATGCTTTGAAGGATAAAACTATACAGGACATTCAGATATTATTTACACTTTTCGGAATATGTGTAGGCTTGACATTTTTATTAATTTTGCAACAATCAGTATGTCAGTGCAGTAAATCAGACATTTGAACTGAATTTATTAACTATCAAGAAAAAGCACTGAGGCAGATAAAGCTGCATGATGACTGGTAAGCAAATACTATCCAGCCAGGACACAAACTCACTGAGTACTGGAAATGAGCAGCAGATAAGCTTGTCTCTTTTAAATTGCTTCCTCTAAACAAATCACACAGATCTTTGTTTAATTAAGCAATCTGATATTCGATGATTAAGCATTCATCTCTGAGCATACCAAGTGCTTTGAAAATATCGAGCCAAAGTATCCAATAAAAGTCTACCATCGTCCAGGGAAATGTTAATTGAAATCAGTAAATGCCTTTAATAGGATGTGATAAGAGATGCATTATTATTTGTTCAACTTGACAATTCTATCCAAGGGCAGCACAGTGGCACAGTGGTTTGAATTGCTACCCCCCTTCAGTGCTGGGGCACTGGGTTCAATTGCTGGAGTTCAAGAGTTCATATACGCCAACGCCCGTTCCAGGTGCTCTTCATTATAAATACTTGGACCTGGATGGGCTCAGGGTTCTGTAAGTGAGTTTACACACTGAGCCCCTGGATATAATAATAATAATAATAATAATAATAATAATTGGTTACACTTATATGGGGCTTTTCTGGACATTCCACTCAAAGTGCATTACAGGTAATGGGGACACCCCTCCACCACCAATGTGCAGCATCCAACTGGATGATGCGACTGCAGCCATAGTGCGCCAGAACGCTCACCACACATCAGCTATCTTTTGGGAGGAGAGCAGAGTAATGACGCCAATTCATAGATGGGGATTATTAGGAGACCATGATTGGTAAAGGCCAATGGGAAATTTGACCAGGACGCTGGGGTTACACCCCTACTCTTTTCGAGAAATGCCCTGGGACACAGAGAGTTAGGACCTCGGTTTTACATCTCATCCGAAGGACGGCGCCTGTTTGCAGTATAATGTCCCCGTCACTATACTGGGGCATTAGGACCCACATGGACCACAGGGTGAGCACCCTCTGCTGACTCCACTAACACTTCTTCCAGCAGCAACCTTAGTTTTTCCCAGGAGGTCTCCCATCCAGGTACTGACCAGGCAACACCTGCTTAAGTGTATATAAGTTTCCCTAGTTTTGCTTTGTTGGTCCCTGCTTGCTACCTTGCTACCTTGCTGTCCTTTGGCTTTGTTCTACTGCTGTGAGTTTGTTGGGTTTGATCTTTGCTCACCTTTTGCTCACCTCTTCAAATCGTTTCACATTCCCTACCGTTTCTCTGATTCCCTCCAGCTTTTTACCTCCCAGTCTCTTTCCAGCTGGAAACTAAACTATGACTGGGATTCACCACTGCTGCAGACAAAGCTTCTCCTGTTCCCTAGCTAGCCCAGCAAAATGTCTGCGTGCGTGGCTACTCGGTTCGCCTATCAGCAAGCAGGCTGCGGATCATCTCCAGAATGATCATTGCTTTCTCCCTCCAGTTTCAGTAGCAGCATGACATCACAACATCTTTATGCATATTAATAAAATACTGATGCAAATCATGGAAAAGCAAGGTGAATAATGACTAAATGTAAATGACAGTAAAATTAGAAAAGTAGATGTACTGTCAGGAATCCTCAATGAAGAGGTATACGGGTCCTGTGCAGACACCGGAGTAGGTAGATGACAAGGCAGGCGAACAATCCAATACTTAAGGCGAGTTTGTGGTCGAGAGGAAAAAGGTGATTCAGTATCCAGGAAGTACGATTGAAGCAAACTATCTGAAGCAAGAGGTGAAGTCATGGTCAAAAGGAGTAAGGTAGGTCGAAATCCGGGAAGAACACTGGTGGCAAACAATCCAAGACGAGAGGCGAGGTCCAAAGTCGAAAGACTAAAGGGAAGTCCAAAATCCTGAATAATACAAGGTATAGAAAACACCAGGTAGAACTCTCAATGAGTAGACTCAATACCGAGCAGCGGGAAGCGGGTTAGGATGGTTTAAATAGTGCTGCTCGCCGCACGGAAGAGCGTGTTCTGATGGATTAAAACATGCGTCGGCGCTTGTTATTATTAACTCGCTGCTGTTACTGGTTAGTTCTTTTGTGAGATTATCTGCTGGCTGGTGGTTGTGACATGTACATTTGTAAATTTAAGTGGTAAACTTGTGTAGGGGTCCTCAGGGCTCTGATGACGGTGTTGTCAATGATTGGAACTAATCAATTGAGGACTACAGTATGTTTATTTCAACTGCTCAACATCAAATGGCCTAGATAACATTTTCCTGATTTATGCTGAAAGTTTTGGAAAACTACTGTATGTATGTTTTTGTGATCACATAAAACATTACACACCCACTCCATAATACCAAAATATGCAGTGTTCATACCATTTAATCAGACATTTAACAGCAAGGATTTTTTAATTTGCAGGGATTAGTTAGCAAAGTGAATGTGACACAGTGTTCTTTGAATTCAGTATATGGAGGCTGAAGCAATGATCTTAGTTCGAAGGTAAGGCCAACAATAAGGTAATTAAAGGTACGCGTTTTGCACAGAGTGATCATACTACTGTTGTACTGCTCATGTATAAATTGATTTAATGAACTTAGTAAAAAAGTCAAACATTGACTCCAAAGGACATAATAGAACAGCCTAACTTAGCTATAATGTGTACTTACAGTCTTCCTACCCTGATGTGATTTTGTGCAATGTGTTTTCTATTATTTTGTAGTTTTCTCATTCTTACCTTGATGATAGCATTCTAGCATTCTAGCATTCCAGCATTACACTAAGGTGCATCTAAATTTGTGCACTTTACACAACACACAAGTGCTCTGTTTTTCTAAAGCATTAAACAAGCACAGAAATATTCCAAATAAATATCTGTTTTGCCTTAGGCTCTTACAATTTATCATGATTACTGCTTTAGTTTCAAGCCTACAATGAACAATGGATCATAAAAAAACAGCAATAGAAATAAAGCAAAAGGTTTGAGAATCACCCATCCATTCTCTGACTGCTTTATCCAACTGCTTTATCTGGTGAGAGGCAGTATTCACATCCTGTGAATTAGCATGAGTCTTGACTGACAGCTGTTACTCTCACTGTGATTTTATTGTTTTGTTGCAGTACAAGCAGCTCAGAGACAAATATGCACCAAAGCAATATTACAGAGTGTGAAATAGCAGAGAATCCCCAGAATATCCATTTGAAAAGCTTATTCCAAGTCAGGGAAACAACAACCATCATATCCCATATATAATTATAAATCACATCGCAGAACTACACCCTAGATAAAGTGTCAATTCATTGCAGCTCACATACTGTACACGCAGGGACAATTAAGACACACCAATTAACCTAGTCAGCATGTTATTGTTTGTATGTTAAAAAAAGCCACAATAACAATAACATCTTTCACTTAATTTTGTAGAAAACAAACACCTCTAACACCTCTGCAGCAGAAAGGTGAAATGATTTACCAAACACCTCTTCAGTCCTCAGTTCTTATCTGTTGTTGAGTAGTTTATTGTAGGAGTGGTCATGGAGATGTTATCAAGTTATCAGCTAGCCATGCAGACACTGTTTGAGTACTGCACAAGAGGCTGGTTTCAAGAGCCTATGTAGCCAGAGTAAAGTATTGTGGACCAAAACTACTAGTGTGGTAATTGAGTGTGCTTTTTGTAAAACAACAATGTTTAAAGTTAGTTGAACCAAAGCTGTTAGAAATGAATTTTCTTTTATATTTTTTAAAGATTTTTTTTTCATAAAACTAAAGCCTTGGGAAACATAATATTTTCAAGAAAAAACCAGAGCGTAAAAAAGGCTAGATTTCAAAATCTCAGGGTGTTCTGTGAAAAGAGGTGCTGTATATATTGTATTGTGCTTACTTGTTTCTAAATTTCTCTACCTGATAATTTCACAATTTTTCTTCTAAAACTCTTTCACGTCAAATGCCATATTGTTGTCAATAAATTACGATTTTCAAATTAGAAACGTTAACCAATATTGACCTGTCAGATAACTACGCAATAGTTTCCTCAGCGCACATTTTCAACTTCCTTACGCTTAGTCTCTTCAATACTGCTGAAGTATTTAATTTCCCTACAAATCAATGTGATGGAGGTATTGCTGTACCAACACTTATAAGCAGGTCTTGAGTTTACAAAAATTGAATAAAATGTCTAATTTCAACACAGGGACTATATTTCTATCTTGAGAGCTTTACAGAACATCAGAGAGCAACCAAATACTCCATAACACGATAATAGATCAATTTATTTAGGTGCGCCTGTTTAAAGGATACAAAATCAAAAGTATAGAGGTTCTAAGGGCTTTCTCAACATGCTAAGACCACTAGGGATAAGGAGACCTCCTCGCTGTGAAGCTGCTATTACTTAAAATGAGGTGATTCTCACTGCTGAACAGAGATTTGTCCACACATATGAGGCCAGTGTAGAAGCTTACAAAAGAATGAATATCTACACTCTCTTTCAATTATAATTATTATAACACTGTCTATCAATTATAATTAAGGCAGCATATATTATGAATATATGGAGGCCTAGACTGTCTTCACCATTTTATTTCAACATCTACATGACTATGAAAATGTATAAATCATGTTAAGTGAAGAGAAGACCTTCCAGGGATCAAAGAGGCAATTCTTTTGTCACAAAGCTGTTGGCAGTCCTGCAGCTGCTGGATAACTCCACACCCGGCAACTCAAAGAAGCTCAGAGGAGCGGCTGGTTGTCAGAGTGAAGCCAGCAGATGATATGGCCATTATAGAAAGTGGGGGAAAGACATTTCACAAATGGATTTAAGCATGACTGAAAAGCATTCTGTTTCTATTAGCTCTCAAGTCTGTACAGAACAGTGCACCTTCAGTCTTGTTTATACTGCAGTCCCACCCTCAGAAACAACAAGTGACTTTTTAAAAAAACGTTCACATGAGTGGGCATGACAGCGGAGCAGGGGTTACCATTGCTACCCCACAGCACTGGGGCCCTGGGTTCAATTCTGTACCTTGGGTGCTATCTGTGTGGAGTTTGCATGTTCTCCCTGTGTTTGTGTGGGTTTTTCACCAGGCGCTCTGATTTTCTATCACAATCCAAAGATATGCTGGAAGGTTAATTGGCTTTTGTGAACATGTGCGTGTGTGTGAGTGTGTGTTTGTCTCTGTGTGCGTCTCATCCATCCTTGAGCCCATATCCGGTACAGGCTCCGGCTCCCACGCAACCCAGAAAAGGATGAATGGATGTTGGAAAATGGATGAATGGATGTTCTATGAGTATCTGTTACTGTGAGATCAAGATCCTTCATATAAATTAAACATAATGCTAAATAAAAACATCAAACACAATTGTGATTATTGTCTGACAGCCTAAATATATTATGTGTTTTTGTCATTTTCATTGTTTTTTATATACTTTCAAAGTAAGAGGATCCTGAAAAATCAATGGCAAGATACATTTAGGTCTATATAATTTTAAAAACAATTTAGAAAACTCTTAGCACAGTGTAAAGTCAGCTACCCTAGTAGGAATGCACTGTAAAACAACCCTAACAGACTGAGCATGTAAAAACACAGTGTACTATATGAAAAAAATGGGGGAATAATCCATGCATATTTAATCAATTTAAATGCATATGATTATAAGAATATAAATTGGCTGTAGAAGCACAGAGATTCAAAATTAAGTGCATCTAATGTTTTTTGTCATGTTCTGTGACTAAAACTCTGCATCAAATGCAAAACTAGTGCAAAGGGTTGTAAAGATCTGAAACAAGCTAGAGTATGCAGATGTACTGATGAAGACAATACCTTTTTTAAAAAGATATTTAAAATATCTTTTAAAAAAGGTCTCAAAGAATTTCAACCAACTGAACTTTCTTAAAAATGAAGCACAAAAACGTGTTGTATTAAGCCTTTAAATCATTGAAATTATGAAAAAGTGTGAAAGTGTGTTTAGACTTGATTAGACATGATTACAGTACCTGCAGGATTGATACAAATGTTTTCCTTAGACTATGAATCTTTTAGCTAGTAATTGCCACCAAAGATGAATGCACAAAAAGGTCTTAAATCAATAATAAAAAGATGTTAACATTAAATTAAGAGTGACAAAAATATGGCAGAAAGAAGACTAAACACACTTGGATTAACTTTTTAAGTGCATCCCTTTTTTGTTATATATTTCTAACAAATACCTTTAATGTCAGTGGCATTCATTCTTCATCGGCATGGCTTTCACATTACAATTCATCAGCTTTAGCCTTCCATTGCAGAAAAAATGAAGAAACAAAACAGCAGAAAATGCTGCGCCCCGAACACTGGGTAGCAAACATCTGCTGTTGCCTTGGTAACAGCAGAAGTCCTGTACAAGGGTAAGACCCCCTGGATGAGGTGCAACATGAAGGAAGACAGCAGTGCGCATAAATGTCTGGTTTGTCACAATGTCTTCATTAGACAGGCTCTACGCTCAAAACACACGTCATGTAGCACGGCATTGACTGCTGTGTGGTATTATAAATACAGACTTAATAGAACTGAGGTGCTTGTAAGAGAAACGTAAGGTAAGCAAAGAAACAGCATCTATGAGAGATCACAATCCAGAGGGAAATGCATTATTCAGATACACTGCTCATACTAAAAATAGGAGATGATGAAATCACGAAGCAACTGTTTTTCTCGTCTTCCATGAGAGAGTGTAGGGACTGTAAATACATAATTGAAGACTCCTCACTCTTGAATTCCTGTGGTTTTGCTGCACAGTTTCCCACATGTGGGACACTCTTTCAGGATCAAGGGCAGGTCTGTTCTGAATAATAAGCAGCAGTCCTTGCTAGAAGCAAGTTTGCAGACCTTTGCTCTTAAAAGAAAGCAAAATTTGGCTTCCATCATGTTACATCAGACAAAGTGTAAGCACAATCTGGAGACTTGTACTTTAGCATATCTATATTAATGTGCCATTAGCCCTTGGCACACAAGATCACACTGATCTGTCTTTGTGTTAGGACCAGGCAGGATAAGTAAAAATGTACTTCAGTGCAAATGATTTTAGCCAATTTTCCTAGTAAAAGAATGGAATAGCAGTGTTACCGTCTTTAAACCAGATCTTTCAGGTTACAGAAGCTAGACAATGTTGAAATGTCAGTAATAGAATGGGTGACCTACAGTATAAGGAAAACCAGGTTGCTGTTTTATGTAATTAGCTGGACCATAAGGTAACACAACTCAACCTGATCCAAAGTTTTCAGAGCTCTTGGATCTTGGGTTCAATTCAGTCCTGTGGGGCCTTCTGTGTGGAGTTTACAAGTCCTCAGCAAGTGTGAGTTTCTTCCATGTATTCCAGTTTTTCTCTCAAACATACAGTACTTGCAGAGAACATGGGCTAATTGGTTTCTCTAAATTGCTTCCCCTGTGCGTTTGTGTCTTACAATGAACTGATGTCCCAACCAGTCCATTGTCCTTCCCATTACCCTGTACCTGCTGGGACCCTCTAAAGATAAAGCAGTTACTGAAAATGGATGAATGGCCCAGTATTGTTCAGTGGAAACACTGTGAAGGAGCGTCACTGTCTTTTGGATGGGAAGTCCTACCTACTTTGTCATTAAAGATTCCATTGGCACTGATTATAAAGTAAGGTCCTGGTTAAATCCTACTCTGAGTTTGCATCTGTATTATATATTATATGTCCCCCTTGTTTTTAATTGGTGAAGCAAATTTTTGACTTCTGATTTACCAGGTAGGGGGCTGCAAAAAAAACAATGGCCACCACACATAACTGAGCTGTTTGCAGCACCTGAGCAGTTGAAGTGTTTTTTTTCTGGCCATATACAATTTCTTGTATTAGGAATTTGTCTTTTTGCATACCCCACCTTGTTCTCTATGAGACACACAGACAGGGACAGAAGCTTGGGGTCAGAGCGCAGGGTCAGGAATGCTATCCTCTCATATACAGTACGTCATGATGTGCAGACAGCTTTGTTTTGAATATTGGAGAAGGTAAGAAAGCTTAAGAAGGGTGCAATGATGTTAAGTAGTGGTTAGGGTTAGGGAGTCAAAAAGTACTGATTATAAAATAAAACACAAAGTTGGGCATAATGTACCCTTAAACAAGATATTTCATTCAATTCTTCAGTAAAGGTCCACCCACATAAAACATACCAATGTAAGCTAGGATAAAAATGTTAACTAAATTTAAATAATAAAATTAATATTAAGACAATTAAGGCTATGGTACAAATACTGTAGCTCAGAGCCAGAAAACCATTTGTGCATGGTTTCATTGTTGTAGAGGTCAAGGCAAAACACTATTTTAGTCATTTATTTCTGAGAATTAAATATTTAAGACAATTCTCAAGAACAAAAAGCTGCAGACAATGTAAAATGCATTGACCCTATCCCATGTGGTAAAAAAGGAAAATCTACTTGGTTTCAAAATGGCAAGCCAAAGACTGTGTCTGTGTTTTAATACAGGTTGACATTTCGGTTTCCAAAAGAACAGGTAGTCAGAGCACTAGATTACACACCTTTCTGCATTCTCAATTGGACTTTGGCAAATGGAAATTAACAGATAAGGTGATTTCTGCTTCCAGACTTGTATTGGAGAAGTTTTCTCCACAGGTTAACCCTAAAAACTGCTTTCAACATTGATTTTATGCAGACTGGTTTTAAGCAGAACTTTGCAGTAAATTCCAACCCCTGTAGTTCACTTAAAGTCATTAGCTTTTGACCAAGCACTACCGAAACCCTACGGGAATGGATGGGCTTATAGCTCCTCTTCTACAATTATCAAAGACAATAATGTCTTCAGCACAGTAATGGACACCAGCAATTATCACAAAATCCTGAGCCAAAAATGAGACTGGTGTTTTCTTTTCATCAGTGCATGCTGCTCTGTACTCTATGTCCACTATAAGAATTAGAGCACTTGGTGATACACACTCAATCAGGGTGAAGAAGCTGAAAACCACTGTTTACTGGAAGGCCAAGAGTCCTGTGAGAATTGAAAAGGTGTAAATTTACCGTATGTAGCATGTTAAGTAAAATCATGTCTGTCACTCTATTGTCTTTGTATTTATTTCTTACAATGAATAAAAGCATAAAACAATTAAAAAAATTTGCAGAAAGGGGACTCAACATGGAGAACAGGATCCTATTTTTTAATTCCATCCAAATTCTCAGTTCTTTAATTCATCCTTTAACTGCATTAAAATTAATTAATAAAACCATTGTACATCTAAAACAAAATTTTAATTGTGACTTGAATCATCCTAAAGCTGAATACAAAAGCAAAAATGGGCATATTATAGGTTTAATTTAAAGGGGTGATAACATCAGTTATAACAGGATAACAGAAAGGAACTGGAATTACATCAGAACGCCCTGTGATGTCTTCTTGAAAGGACGTGACCAGGAATGGGGTCTTCTCCCTTATGGCACTTTTGTTTTTTTAGTAATAGGACTAGGGAAATACATTTCCCTAACTCAAAGTGTGCAAACTATCAACATTACAAATTGCAGTTCAGCTTCACACACTATCTGGGTTCTCGTTCTTATGGGTCCCTTCTCTGTCCGGATTTTTTGCATTCCCTGTTCTCACCTATGATTTAGACAATAAGACAATAATATTCTTTTGGTAGAATTAGGTCAACAAGTGATGGGACAGATTAAAAGTACTGATTTGCTTTTTCTTCCCAGACTTCAGCGAGACAGCTAAAAAAAATGAAGATGATGCCCAAGAGCTCCAAGTTGAATAATAAAAATAAAATTAATCAAGAAATGTGGCTATATGAGTTCCTCTATAAATTTGTGTATGTCTTAAATGAACCTCAGAGGTTAAAAAGAACTCCTCAGTGGGTCTGAGTGGTGCTACACTTAAGATACTCTGGTTCTGCCCAGCTATAAGGCCTGTGCTTTACCTCTCTCTGCCAGACCGGGTTGATGGTATTGCACATGATGCTGGACCTCTTCTCCTGGCCATGGTGGGGCAGAGCTGGGAAGATGCTGTGCTTCCCAGGCTGGATGGCAATCTTCAGGTAAGGGTCAGGGTTGAAGAACATGCCTTTCTTCAGCCCCACAGCTTGGAAATCTGCCCAAAAAAGGGGGGGGTTGTAAAGACTGGGACAGACTAGCTGTCTTGGGCCCCTAGTTGAACAAATCACACGTCCTGAGAGAAGCAGTCTAGACATTGGTCATGCATAGCCATCAAAACAGAACGTGACACCAAAACAAAAACAATTTCAAGTTCAAAAATGACAATTTTTGTACAAGTACTATTAGGAAAATGTTCAAATCTACCAAATCTATCAAAAAGTTTTAACAGCAGTTCATCAGAATCTAAATTTCATGGGATTTAAATAACTTTCACATCATAAATAACAAGATTTCACCTACACATAGTACTATGAAAATTAAATCTTTGTTAGAAGAGAGTAGAGCACTAAACTCTCTTAAGAACCTGTTATTTATCTTTTATACTTTATCTTGTTAATCTCATTCTTTGTTAATAATTATATAAATTATTCTTCCTACAGGATCATACAATGTCGGAAGATATTTCTTGCACAAGGAAGTGGGTGATTTCTAGATGACTGTTTTATGGGATTGTTTTATACTGTATACAAATTCACAATGCTGTTGCAGCTTATCTCAAATGGCTGATTTAGCAAACTTGAAGTAATGAAATGTAAACAATTTCTAAATGATCAATGGTAAAATGATTAAATTCTGCTTTCATGATGATGGTAATAGAGTCAATTGTTTTAAAAATAAGAGAAAGATGTAATGAAAGTTTATTTTCTAGCTCTACAGGAGCAATGTCTGTATTAAATTAGCTCACAGTTAATAGTGACCTTATAGGGGATAATTGGCAATAACCTACCAAAGAAGGCAGGCAGCCACAGAGCAAGTAAGGGGGAGATGTAGACAACAAATCCCTCGAGAGCCTATTATCTCCTTCAACACAACCCCCTACCCCTCCCTGCTGTGTGGCAAAACCATGTTCCTCATAAAATATTTAATGTTAGAAGCACCACTGGTTTGTACTTTGTGAAACAGTTTAACTACAGAGACTGTGTTATTCCTTTCCTAAACAACAGGGGGAAGGGTGAACTATTTCTACATACAGTATATAGACAGTCCTTCCTTTCTTTCATATTTAAACAATCCTTTCCCATAACAGGTTACAGTTACTATTATTTATTTACTTCTTACAGTCAGGCTCACATTAAAAAACATGTGGACTATTGCATACAGCAGCTGCAGAACATTGACTCTGTGAATTCACTGACAGTATGTCTGATTTGAAGTAGTATTTCTTACAACCATGTTGTTCAACATAGTATGTTCCTGGCAACTATACTATGCAGGTAAATCAGAGTCAGAGAGCAGCTGTAGTAATTATAATAATGATATGCAGTAATATTTCACATAAGAGCTGAACATAGAAATAAAGAAGCCCAAGCTGTCAGTAAACACAATATGCAGTGATAATAAAACACTGTTTCACAAGTATAGAAAAAGACAAAACATACAATTATTTTTCTCACTTCACAAAAAAAGAGGTACGACAAGGCAATCAATCAATGCAGAATCATTGCAAGTCCAATAAGTAAACACAGCTTAAGTAAGTAGTTTTTCATGAAAAGTTTTGCAGTGTGATAAAAGAATTCAAATGAAGTAATTTATTTCTTCATAAACATTTTAAAGAAACAAGTGTAATATTCTGCCAAAATGGTAAAACATTAGCTCATTTTAATTATTAACATTTAAAGTGCCACAAATAAAACAGGAGAATCCACAAAATAACATCACTTTAATATGCTGACAAATACTCAGAACTGAAGTTTTTTCACTAAAGATATGCTATGAAAATGCAAAATGCAATAAATACAGTATTGTACTTTCAATTTTCCCATAAAAACAAGTAGACATTAGTTATTACTTAGATAATTCTGTGTTGTATTCCTTAATTATTGTTAGCTAGAGAAAGTGCAGTAGTACTGTGATTTTTAAAGCTGTGTCAATAGTGCTTGAAAGCCCTTTTCCTCTCAGTTACTCCTTGCTTGGCTTTAAGCGTAGAAACTCATTGTCCATGTCAAATGGATTTGAACTAGCCAGACTTGAAGGTGATGTTTAGAAAGCTCATGTAAGATGCTAAGTGATATCATTTTGTCTGTAATGGAGCGGATATGTGGCATGGATGATTACAAAACACCTCATGGCATCGCAGCTGCAGTCTTGAACAGACTCTGCAAACCCAAGCCACTCTACCTTACTATCCATCTTGACCTCGGCAGTTTCAAATACAACTGACAAGAACCTTAAGAAGCCTAGCCGATAAGAGATTACCTTAGGTTGTAAGGTTCATAAGATTCATAAGTTTCATAAGACAGGGCCACCACAGGATGACGTACTGCCGTTCTGTGTGGTGTAAACAGGTCCTCTGTATAGGGCACTTAAGTGCTGACAGTCAGCATACGGCAAGTTAGTACTGTATGTTACACTAAGGGGGACAAATTATTACAGGAAGCCCAGTGATGAATGGTAATCCTCTCCTGCTGTGCTTCAGACAAGTAAAAACAACAACTAAATTTCTGTCCCTTCATGAGAGCATGTATTCTGTTCCACATACAGGAACATGCACCACCAAGGACAGCAACACATTTGGAGCGATAAAGAAAAGAGAGAGAGCATCACTCAGACTGAGACACTGTGGATCAAAATAAAAGTAGCCTGTTAATCAGTTCTGTTCATTAAATAGGGAAAAGTAGATTTAGCCATGCCATGTATCCAATCTAATGAGTCCTTTTTAAGAAACATCAGAAAAAAAGGGAAGCAGGACTGATTTTACACAAAGTTTCTACCGCTCCAAACTGGAAATGTTATTATTTTTTGAACAGTACGGATACATTCAAAATATTACAAAGTCTTGATTTCTTAGAGAATGCTTTAACTAACCAACAAACACATAAGGGAAGAGCAATTAAGCATCAATTACCAAAAGTGTCAAAACGTGAGTAGGGTACAAATTAAGTAAAAAGTCATAAAAAAACACTCCCACAAAACAAAATCCAATCTAGTTATTTACATACTAGCATATTTCAAATTTCACAACCAATACCTGTAAAGAGGCAGCGCAGAATTGCACATGCTCTTAAAAATTGTTGCGCTACTAGCACTAGCTGTAATTTTCAAAAAGCACTGTAATTCTGCCTTCCCCTTCACCTGTTGGATTACATTGAACTACTTGGCCCACCCTCAAAGGCACACGGTGTGAGCTGCTGATGAGGTGCTAACACCTGGCAGACAGTGCTGCATCTGCTCACCTGACAGGGAGAAGCTGATCAGTCTCCGACTCCCTTGGCTCTGTGAGGCTTCTTCACTGGCGATGGGCTTGAACACCTGCATGGAAAAACGTGGGACAGTTCAGTTCAGCTCACGCAAAATACTTCCGACGAGCTCTGTACTTACAGTACGCTCTGGTCATACCGTAAAACAGCTGAATCAATAACATACATGCATTAGAGAAGTATCGATCACAGCATACAGGAAATTATCCTTCTAGAGACATGAACCTCACAGGGGAGCAGCTTTCTGAGAAAGGGAAACTGAATCTGCTTTTGTTTAATGACCTAGACAAATCTACCTCTTACTCAGCTGTAATGTCTGCCTGCAGTACAGTGTTCCTTACTGTTTTTTTTTTTTGTTGTTTCTGAAGGAAAGCAAGAGAAAGCTGTACCACCCAGGCAGAGCAAACAAACACACTGCACAAATTGAGTGTATGTGTTCAAATCCAAATAGGTTAATTTTAAAATGCTTAATTTTTTGTCTTCCTTGTACAAGACTTTGAAGATGATATGAAACCATCTTTTTTAAGATGGTATAAACACTAAGCCTTGAAATGGCACATGAAATATGTTCTTTGTAAAAAGAAAAATCTTTTGACTTAGTCAGAATTCACAACCTTCTCATAAATACTGTATATATTTAACATCACCATAAAAGCCTTTAAAAGGGTTTTATTTCTAGAGTTATGTACAGTCTGTTCTACCATTTACAAAATCAATGGTACGACCTTGCTTTAAATGGATCTAATACAGTACATTGTCTATTTTAGATGCCTTGAGAGAACAACAGTACTAATAGTGACCAAAAAAGAAGAGTGGAAATTCCACGGTTATGTTTAGCAGACTGAAGAAACCTGCTGCGTGAAAACAAGGCTGCAGCGATACACAGGAAGGCCAGAAAAAACACTGAGAACTGCATTTCTTTTAAAAGATCATCTAGTGTCATTAAAAAAAGTGATATAACAGGGAAAATCAATTAAAGTATTCCCTTAGGGAAGTGTATTCCCAGCTTCCTAAACTAGGCTTAGAAAACATTATTCTTATTGCTGTTTAGATATACTGTACATTTAGATACAGTATACATTTTGTAAAGATTTCAAGTAATACAATCATTTTATTAAAAAAAAACAATTAGCAAAAATGATAAATACAGCATGATGTAGATACACAAAGAGCCTATAATAATGATGTGATACAGATTGCATATATTTTAAAAAGATGTTACTGCATGAAAAGTAGTGACTAATGATGAAGCACAAACAAAAAAGGATGTTTTATCAACACCCATTCCAACACACAGCTATCTCTTTTGGAACAGCTGAAAAAAAAAATCCCCATGGTTTTACATTCGTCTGTCTCCTGTCTTGTAAAAGAAGTAGGAAATGCTGTGCTTGCTAACCAGAATAAATGTAGCCAGTAAATACCAACCCCCTGTCAGATTGTGAGATTTATATTTTGCCTCACAAGGAAAGCAACATGAAAGACTTTGGCAAATCTAAGGAGGATGGTGTCGTGCTGCAGCATAGATCCTTGCTGGAGATGGCTGTCATAACCAAAACCACAGCAAAAGTGATGATCTCCTTTTGCAGAGGAATCCCTTGCACATCGCCATGAAGACTGACTCACAGTACACTGCACTGCATGGTCTGTTTACAACTGTGAGTAGTCTTGAAATGAGTCTACTCCTAGGCTTAGTGTTTTATAACTAATTATAAAGAGCTCAAACAATGCTTTACTACTCTTCTGTGCAAATGTGGTGATTTTCATTTGAGTCTGTCATTGGAGAGATGCTCCAGTGCATGCATTCATTAAGAAAAACAAAGACAACCTTGGTTACAGTATATCACCTTTTTTTATACCAAATGTTTTTACTACTTTGAACTGTATCTTTCTCTATCTGCACTGTGAATTACTATACACAAATATGGAACAAAAGAAGTGCCAGCACAGTCAATTAATATTTACTTTAGTAAAAACAAACAATATGACAATTAAATCAACACAGACCACCATACAGAACTAGAATTAAATCACACCCCTGTGGTTGGACTATTGTTAACAGAATCCCACATATACATACAGTACCATACATTTACAGTAATTGATTTAAATTTAGATTGATACAAAAAGTAAGAATTATTTTTTCTAAATTAACCAAACAGTATTCTGCTCTCATAACCAAAGTGCCTTATATGCAGCTTTGCACTGTAGGGGTGAAACACTTGTTAACCTAATTCTACCAAAATAATATTATTGTCTTCATGAAGAAGAAGTTTTGTAGTAGCCTAATGCTGAATACCAATAGCTTCTATACATGTAACAGTGTGCACGTTTGCTTTAAAAAGCAGTTCTGATTTTTGACATTTTACTGTAACTCACTTAACATTAATTACTTATTATAATTAATAATTATTATAATAATTGCTTAGATGTATATAGTGCTTTTCTGGACACTCAAAGTGTCACTCAAAAGCACTAAACCACTCAAAGTGCTTTAAAGTTAATGGGGACTCTCCTCCACCACCACCAATGTGTAGCACCCACCTGGATGATATTACTTAATATTTACACTGATCATCTTTAATAAAACATAACTGTACAAAACGTTATGGCGGTAAAATATTGTTAATATTTTGTATTCACAGTAATCTTCCAGTCAGATGTGTCATCATACCTGAATATATGAGACATTCAGTGATGTACAGTATAAACAATAACAAAATTGTGATAAAAACATTATAGACGTTTTTATTTAGTATGTGTCCAAAAGTGATATCCCTTATGTGGATTTAAGATAAAGGGTAGTCTTACCTACTAGATTGATCAGAGTACCAGAAAGACACCTAGTCTAGGCTGATCGGCGTACTAGAGAAGTTGAAGCTGAGTTGGTAAAGCCCATAACCTTGCCTATCTTTTGAGAATGCTCAAACTTGTTTGCAACTTTAACATTATTACATATTATTAGTACTGTAACAATAATAATTCATGTCTAGACATGAGAAAGTGCTTTATAATTAATAGAAAAAACACAAAGGTAAAATAATTTGGTCACAAATATAAGCAGATAAGCAAAGAAGCAGGTTTATTAAAATCAGGAAAGGCAGATTAAAAAAATGGATATTGGTATTGTATATCTATATATTAAGAAAACTTTTGATAATGTTCTCCATAAAAGATTCTCAAATTGCATCCAGGAGAAAAGATTATATGCGTTCTTCATTAATTCATATCAAATACAGTACAGATAAAGGGTGAATGTGGGGTAATTAGTAAAGTACCGCAGGGATCACTGCTCTAATTAATATGTACTATTGATCTAGATTGTGGTGCAGTTAGTTAGTTTGAACAAAAATGAATTGCAAAATCTGTAGATGTTGAAAAGGAAATTCAAAAATATTTAGCCAAACTTTTAGCCTAGGCAAACACCTGGTAAATGACATTTAACACAGATAAGTGTATACATTTGCGACCATGCAGATATAAGCTATTGTACAAATATAAGATATGGAATATTACACTTAAAGAAGTTAGAGGTGAACAGGACGCAGGTGTTTATGTTGCTGTACAGTATATGTTGTACAATAAAACAGGGGAAAGAATAAAATAGACAAAAACAAATATTAAGATATATAGCAAAAAGTATAGAATAGATATTGCCGTTCTAGATTCAAGACCAATCAGATGTTAATTTGTAAAAAGATACAATCAGTTACATTCTTCTGCTTAAACTAATGTCCTACTTTAATGCACAAAACAACTGAAATCTTTAGTCTTGAACAAAGGGTTTTAAACCATTGTCTGGATTAAATAATTTGTCAAAATGGACCTGTGGTTTAAACAAAAAATTAAATGTCTATACTGTATAGTACCCTATCATAGTATTAAAAGATGGTTTGATCCATAGGAATCAACCATCCTAGCCAATGTAGTGGCAGTGGCCCAGCACATGACATGCCACTATAATTCAGTGGAGGACTAGTGACTGCGTATAAGAAAAGATATTCCCTCTATATTATGTATTGTTGTAAGTGTTCTTACAAGAGCTAAGCTTGCTGGTGCAAACGTCTCTGAGGCATCATTCAGTGCAACACATTATCTTCACATTGTGTCTAATGTGTCAGTTTAGAGAGCTTCATGGCTTTGCGGTTCATATTCTTTCTGATACAGTTCACACCTGCCTACATTTCCCAGAGAGATGAATCAACTGTTGTTGTCTGCGTGGTCACATGCATACCTCTACATATGAACATCTTGACCAATCTAAACCACACAATGTGGCAGTTTTTGCAGATGGACCAATGAACTAGCTAATGGTAAGAAGGGCAGTGTAAATAATTGATATTATTTTACAATATATATTATTAATATATTATTTTAAAAGCAGAACTGTGGATCCTCTTTTTTTCCTGGACAGTCTTTGGAGCTCCCCAGGAATCATTACAAAACCCTTAATTTATATAATATTACAAGTATATACAGTACATGTTTTTTTTCCAGTAGTGCATAATTAAAACCTGTCTGTGCATATAGAATTAACACCTTGAAGTAATCAGATAAATTAATACTGATGAGTATGTATAGACAGCTGAGTATCTTTTAATCCAGATTTAATTTTATGTTGATTTGTATGTATTGTCTTTGGCTTTACCTTGTTTTATAAATGTGCATCTAGATGATGTAATAAAAAGTGCTAAATTAACTATTATTGGCATGCATAAGATTATTATTATAATTGCTTTTCACTATCAACCAGAAATTCATGATTAGCCTCATGATGTGATGTGAAGAAGTCTTATCATCTGAACCAATATCTCACACTGCCTTCATTTCTTTAGGCAAAAACCTAATTTTGGATGCTTGACAGTACTTTATGATGTTATATTCCCTGTGAGATTCAGACTTATTTTTCATACAGATCTAGGAATTCTCTTGAGGAGCTCAGGTTAGATCAGTCTGTCTTAACATTCCTCTATGGCAACACACCAGAATATCACTCTGGTACAATGTGCGCTAGGCCAGGGCTGTAGCTCTGCTCAAAGCATTGTATTTCTTATTCTTACATTCCCACCTCAGCTCTGTCTTTAAACCAAGGCCAACAGGCTTAAAAGAGATACTCTAGCAATTCAACACTAATAACTGATGGTGGATATAAATGAAAATAATTGGGATTTCTTTCAAGAATGTTTAATACTATAATTATAAGAAATCATCCATTGTTTCTTTATTATGATTTTCCAATCAAAACAACAGATTGTATGGTAACATCATTAAATTATATGATAAGAAATGTTAATTCATCCTTCTTTACCCATAAATCATCATTGCATATATTGTACTATATATTCCTCAAGGTCAATTTACAGCTGTAGATATCTGCCATTTATAAACAACCAATGCAATGTCTGCTATTCATTAATGAACAACAGGATAAGGTATTAAATGCTTGAAGAATATTAGGAAAACCATACCCAGAGAGTCTGTCGAATCATACCAGTATATGGTACATATGGATGATAACTCTGAAGGTCACTTTAGAGGATGTTCAGTTGCAGTCACAATACTGCTGTAAACCACAACACCGAGCAAGATTCGGCATAGTCTCTCATTATCTTCTCTGATCAGGTTTAACATGGCTGCTGCCACAGTTAAATAGAGAGCTGTGTGATGGTGGCAGCCAGCCAGGGCCACATTTGGTGATAGTGCTAGTCAGGAGGCAGGATGGAAAGCAACTTAAGGTAAGCAGATTTTATGCAATTATGCAAGAGAACCTCAAGCGACCGCTTAAGAATGGTATTAATAGGTCCAGAGTAATCTGGCTCTGTTTGGGAAGCTTTAATCCATGCTGCCAAGTAGCCAGACAGATGGGAAACTCTGCAGGCCCGTACGCACATATGAATGAAATTAAATTCTCTTTGGTTTGAGACAAGCAGTATTTAATGAAGGATAACAATCCCAGTGTAAAACCTTTGTTTTCAAAACTTAAACTCTAAACAGAGAGAAATGATTTGAAGTTTCTAAACCTCCAGCCAAGCCTTAAATTTAGGGAGCGTGTCCTTTATGGATTAGCGTGAATGGCACAGGGATACACAGAAACCACTGTGAAAAGAGAATGGTACTGAAGCTTGCTCAGGATTTTGTGCTTTATTTTCAACTAAGGTCAGTGATTCTCAACTTTTTCCATCCTACAACATACATGAACATAAACATTTTTGGCACACCTCACCCCCAATACGCATACTGTACACAATAGCCAGCAGCCATATCACCCTGCAACTCACAACTGACAACCCACCAAAGCAAAGCAGGTGTGAGCCTGGCCAGTATGTGGATGGAAGACCTCCTGGAAAAAACTAAGGCTGCTGCTGGAAGAGGTGTTAGTGGGGCCAGCAGGGGAAGTTCACCCTGCGGTCATTGTGGGTTCTAATGCCCCAGTATAGTGATGGTGATACTATACTGTATAGTAAATAGGCGCCGTCCTTCGGATAAGAAGTTAAACCGAGGTTCTGACTCTATGTCGTCATTAAAAATCCCAGGGCGTTTCTCAAAAAAGAGTAGGGGTGTAACCCTGGCATCCAGGTAAAATTTCCCAGCGGCCCTTACCAATCATGGCCTCCTAATAATCCCCATCAATGAACTGGCTTCATTACTCTGCTCTCCTCCCCACTGATAGCTGATGTGTGATGAGCATTCTGGCGCACTATGGCTGCAGTCGCATCATCCAGGTGGGGCTGCACATTGGTGGTGGTGGAGTGGAGTCTCAGTTACTGTAAAGCGCTTTGAGTGGAGTGTCCAGAAAAACACTATATAAGTGGAAGGAATTATTATTATTAATATTATTATTATAGTTAATTTGCAGGCTCCACTTATCAAAGCCCCTGTGCGGTCACACAAATTACTGCAATGCTTTTTAAGGGGCAAATCTGAAGGAGGTTAGTGTATTGATGAAACACCCAATGTTTCTGCAATGTTTCAGGTTTATCAGTACAGCAGACTCATTTGAAAGTGTTTTTAAGCAAACAGGTTCAAGCATCTATCTATCTTGATGCAGCACCACAGTTTTTGTCACACATCAGATGGCATTTCTGTGGTGTTATACCTTCAATGAAGGCTGACTAACATAGTATTCAACCAAGGACAGTTTGAAATTTGCGAAGAAAAATAAAAATCCTCACAACTGGCAGTGAATGACAATATAGTAACACAATAGCAATGAATGTTCAAATATTAAATACTGTATGAACTCTAAAAAAAAAAACCCTGTGTTTGTAAAGGAAACAGCATTGTCAGGGAGATTCCAGCTCTCACCCTGGAGAGTACTCTACAATTCTTATTTGCCATTGGCTTTTTACCAGAGCTCCTGGTGACCATTCCCCCTGTAATAAATAAACACAGCAGCCATGAACCTGAGGAATGACTCACGGGAGCCGAGGGATTCTTCACTGTGACGCTGGGAGTTGTAGCACGCAGAGCTCCACTCACTCCATGATAATACTTAAAGCAGATTTTCGTTTCAGCTAGAAAGAGAGAAAGACATCAGAGACACATAGAATTAAGGTCAAGTCATAGTCTATTGTAGAATTAGCAGCAGATAAAAGACCTACTGCTCTCTTTCCAAATGAGAGCTAATTACATTTCTAAAACCAACAGTCACTGGGTTCTAAAGTGAAATGTTAAAACAATAAACACCTTCACAATGTATATTACAGGACCAATGAAATCATATTAAATGTTGGTTTCTTATTTTTTAATTGTTTCCTCGATCCACAAAATAGTCAAAGCAAAGAAAAAATGAAGCTGATCGCAATAAAGGTCGTTTAAAAGTTGAAACTCCTGGATCATCCTTCATTAGAAAAGGGATGGGAATTTGACAGCCTGACAGTCGTTCTTCTCCTCAACCAGGTGAGTTACCGAGATTGAATCATGCCTCCTCTCTGGAATTTGACCAAATAGCTAAATAGAAATAAAAATAAGTACAACTAATAGATCCTGCTTTAAATTTAACTTACTGGCTTCATGTGCAGCTAGACACACTTAAAGGCAATATTGATTAAAATTTTAATTTAATGGCTGTAACATTTAACAACACCTTTGATTTCCTCATGCATGTATCATGCTTTAGAATCTTCCATTACAAAATTAATGTGCACCAATCATAAGCTTATGATATTAAAAGATTGCATATTGTATGTTACAGTAAAGTGTTGCATAGACTCACCAGAATAATTGATTTTTTCTTTCACCTGAAGAGTTGCACGTTTATAAAGGATAATTTCAATTCTAATTTTCCCAAGAAGATATATACTGTACTACTAATCTAAATGACACTGAAACAGGGAAGTAAAAGGCACATCTGATCTAATTTAAACAAATCTAGTTCTCATTCTAGGCCTCAGAATAGCTCCTGATGACAAGAAGATGGGCACGGTCTGTGGTAAATACCCAAGAGGTCTTGCCATGCTAAAGAAACCTCAGTCCCCATGCAACTAAGTAACACCAGAATAGAAAGAAAAATCTGAAGAGATTGAAGAAATAGCACAAGTTGAGACTGTTCTATTTCTTCAGCTCTCGGAATAGTGCACACCTGGGCCACATTTAGGAGACACAGTGACATGACTAATGGGGCAACATTTTCTCTAATGACAGATCTCATTTGTGTCAGTGCTTTGCAGTGTGTAAGCCCCTTTGCTCTGAACAAATTGTAAAAAACACTTCTATTTTCTACAGTCTGCTTAATCAATGTCTGCAGCAGAGGTAGATCTACTACACTGACATACAGTAGTTGTTCTTGGGATCAAAATGTCACCTTTTTATTCAGTTTAGTTACTACTGACCATTGTTTGTTTTGGTTTAAAAAACAAACATCACAGCTCAGGGTTTATATGAACTCTAACACATTGCAAATTCTTAATAACATCTTAATGAATTTCACAGATAACTCCTGAAGACCTTCTGGTAACAATCCTTCTGGACTGGATGATGATTATTCAGAGTCCTCCAATCTTAATAAATAGTGGGTTTTCCACGGTAAATACTGCCAAGGGCAAGTAATCAATGAATAAACCCCTTTTCTTCTACAGGATAGACAGACAGGCAGACTGATACTGACAACCGTTGAAGAGCGCAGAGTATTTTTATCATCACAACAGAGATATAACACGCAGCAATGTGACTGCTCCTTTCTACCAGGCCAGTGCATCTCAGACATTCGCTGAGGCTCATTGGTTGTTGCTAAGTGTCCTTTAGTCCTTAGTGTCTGTCTACTACTCTGTGTGGAAGTGCCCAGATTTGAAAATAAATATGGCATTCTTATATTTTTTCTAATGTTGTTATTTTTAAATCCAATTTTTATATATTTTTTTTTATCATTTTCTGAAATTTCATTTATGTTTGGTCTGGTTAATATCTCATTTTCTAAAAGATTATAATGGATGGTTCAATAGTCGATATAGTGCAGCTGGTTTAGGATTTCTGAAAAATCATGTCACTGTTGCAGCAATCTGACCTTTAAAATCTTGTCCCTTGCCAGCTCTAGTTTGACAGAATGCAACAAATATAATGATTATCATGGAATGTGAAAAGATGTTTCTTTATATCAGAGGTTCTGGTGCGCTGTTCTGGTAAGGTGGTTGACATACTTACTGTATGTACAAAAAATAAGCTAACTGCAAAACAAATATGGAAGCTCTCAAAAAACTTTTGTTTCTTAATTTTGTTTTTAAATAAACAACAAAAATCTACTGTATCTGTCTATAATTTTTTCTAAAAGTACTTTTAATAAAATGGGTTAAGCATTCTGACATTTTTATTTGAACAGTGATTATTGTTTATTAAAGACAATATTTCCCCCTAATTTCACTCTCTTTGTCCATATGTGCATGTTCATCTGTTTTTTGTAAGTGAACCCTTATATTCACACCATCTAATAGCAGGCAGCTGTGACTTACTACCACATACAAAACTCCAACTATGCTCATGACAACCTTAAGGTATAAAACTGGATTCTCAAGACAGCACAGATACATGCAGATGCATATGAGCGCAGAGAAGCCACTTGAAGGCAATAATGCTCCATTAAGCAATAAAAATCAAAAATCAAATAAAAAACTGCCACTGACAGCAGCAGACACTCCTACAGCAAGACCGTCAGGGAATCTTAGGATGAAACTGCTGGATGCATCACCAGTTCTTTCTTTCACGTAGTAACGGAGTCCTATAACAAGTGCACTGTTCTTTGTTAAAGTTTTAACTGTCTTCTAAAAACCTTTATAATGCTTGTTTCCAATTGCTTTGATGTCTTATTGATCACATTATCAAATACTTCATTGCTGTATATTTCAAGCTTAAATACAGTATAATACTTTTTGAACTTTTTTTACTTTTGCTATACTGTATGTAACATGGAAATGACAGCGTATGTCACAAAATATTTCTGCACATACTTGGATCACATGTGAGCATTACTAATTGATGCAAAATAAATACTGAAAGATTCGTCTGTTCAATGTTTGTAATACAGCATGGACTGAAATTACTTCAGAACCACAACAGATGTTCTTTAGAAAATGTACTGTATCTGCGTCCATTACATTATGTGTTTAGTAAGTGTTTATTTGATTTATAATATAAATGAAATTGCCCTGAAAGCAATTAAATGGAAGAGAATATTCTTTGTCTTTTTATTTTCAGTACTAACATGTTTGTGCACAGTACGTCACCATAATGTAATTTCCAGGCCCACAAAATATACAGTACGGGTCTTTTATTTATTTGGAAGGGATTCAAGAGCATGTACCTGTAGGTGGTTTTATAAAACTCCATAAGTGTTTTCTCTTTTTCCATAAAGGTATAGCCTATTTTTCTGAGCAATGACAACAATAAAAGGATTTATAAATTATAGACAGACATACAGACACAAAACACTAAATTGTTAAATGTTAAATATACTAAGTCTTGTCACTTTTTATCCTTGAATTTACCTTTCACAATTAGTAACCCTGGAAGGTTTTCAATTCATGATGACATCAATATTTTCTTTTACAACTAACAATGTAATTAAAGTTTGAGAATTGTGAGATAACCTGTCAATTAACAACATTTGCTCTCTAATGCCAAGTCCAAAGAGATTACTGTGAAAGATTTAAACTCATTACATGTTATAACCCAGATCATTAGATGTTATTTGAGAAATATTGTTGTCTCTTCAGACAACACAGACAAAAACAAAGGACTTAAAATTCAAATGCACATCTTTAGTATAGTAAATCATAATGCATGCTACTTACCGAGCATGTGTTTCTGAAACCAAAATTACATCAGAGTTCATAGGAGGCTGAAATTTAACATGACTTGACTTCAACATTACTGCTTTTGTGTTTTGTGTGGTTTATTACCAAAGTGTCTTCTAAAATCAACATTTTACACTTATGATATAAGATACTTATACCATCCCAGTATCTTAGGGGTAATTAGTATTCGGACAGCCACAATTGTTATTGAACTACTCTAGCTAGGTATGAAGGTTCCTTTGTCAATTCATCTTTTCTTTCTTCTTAATTAACAGCATTACTTTACGTGCCCAACTCCAGTGTGCAAAGGCCAGAATCTAGCATGTTTTCTGGGTGTCCTTAAATTATCAACAGCTGAAGACCCTTAACATTTTTCAGTGGGTACAATTAAGCTGAAGTTCAGCTCACTTATGTCATTAAGAGCAGAGGTGGAATCAAAACTTTTAGACACTGTGGTTCTCCAGTACCGGAGTTGTGCCCCCACTGCACTAGTGCATCACAAAATTGAGAGGGAACCTGTATATAATTATTTCAGTCTTGCTGCGTAATTCCCCGAGGCATTCCTTTGGTGTCTGCAGAAAAGCTGTAAATATTTAAGCAGGTGCACTTACGTTCCACAAAGTAAGAACTGGCATCGATCTTCCACACGATCTGGCCCCTGTGAGAGCCGTTGACTCCTCGGTTTTTATAGTCCAGGAAGTTTTCAGAAAGAACCTCATCTGAAAAAATAACATGTGGGTAATGTATCTTTTTTGAACACGACACATTTCAACAACAGCCTTTTTATATTTTGACATAGATAGAAGAACACTCAGAGAACAGATACCAGCACAGATATTAGTGTTTATATTTATGGTGCATCAGAAAAAGTGAAACCTCTCAGCTTCATACAGAAGGGAAAACCCAGGATGCCTGCTTTTTCAGCTTCCTGCAGCTCATACAGAGTATACCTGAACAGTTTCGTCACAATATGATAAATCTGATCCATATTGTGTTGCTTTGTCTGTTGCAGGCAAGCCAAATACAATAAAATAATCTTGCTGCCATTGATTTTGCTGCCAATGGAATATAATTTCAAGAAAGTCTGATAAACGTCCTTTTTCACAGGAATCTCTCATGTCAAAAATCTGATGGCAGCATGACTTTAGATTTTCTGATGTTCAGTATTCTCTATGATCTACCTGCATATGGCATATGGAGAGACCACATAGCCTCTCTTCCCCTTATAAAAAATACTTTTGGCAAGAACAATCACAATTATGCAGTTAATTAAACAATTAGGCCACATAACTGAGAGCTCAAGTATAACAAGGACTACAATTTACTGAGACGCCTGGAACAGTAGGGCATGTCACAGCCACAGTGGCCGGCGGCCACTCTACTCTGCCCTGATCGCTGTAGAGACAGCTTATGCAGAGCATCTGGCTGTAGTGAGTACTCTCGTGGCAGGTGCTCTAGGTTATTTAAACCCTGCTCTGTCTCTCCTTGTCAATCCAGCATTGACGTTCCAAATCCCTGCACTCCTGAGCCACACTCCAGCAGTCTCAGTGGAGCCCTTCCTGTTCCAGTTCTCTCAGGCTCCACCTGGGAGCTATTCAGGACTTCTCCAGGCTGCTGAGTGAGGACCAGAGGTCTGGAGCCTGCTTTGGACATGGACATCAGCAGACGACTCCTGTCCACCTAGAGGATGACCACCCAAACTGGGAATGTCAAGCCCAGCCACAAAACCAGACCCCCAGCCCTGCTACTGAGCCCTACTGAGCTCTGGAACGAAGCAAAGCTCCAGACCTTGATGGCTCTCCTTATCCTGCACCTGATTTCCCTGCACTCCTTCCCTGTGTTCCAGTCCCTCAGCTGCCTGCCCATTTCCCAGGAGATTCCAGCAAGAAATTTGAATGGATTGTTCCTGCCTGGTCTCCCTCGCCTCAGGCGCTCTGAGCTGGCCACTGCCCCCTGACTGTGGCACCCTAGCCCTTGAGTCCATAACCCCTCCATCACATCCACCCCTTGTTTCCTGGGGGGCGACATTGGTTGTAACAAAAGATTCAGAAATTATTCAGTTATTTGGTAAAATTCTTCTTCTTCTCATTTTTACTTGTTTTTAATTGAACAGCCACATCTATGAAACAGCAGAAAACAATACTCTATAAAGTACCCAGTCTGTCACATATATGCCCCTCAGAAGGTCTACAATGCTACATAAATACAAAATGAAATACTATTAAGTTCTCATGCAATGTGGTAGTTGATTCCCTCAGTAAGATGGTGATTTCCTTTAACAGCCTCTTAAAAATTTCACAGAGCTCTTTTCCTACCCCAGCACTGAATCATCACCAGCAAGGAGACAGATGTCTGACAGCAGAGAGCTATAAAGTCAATAACGGATTTATTGGTGAAAGGGATGAAAGGTCAATAATCTTTCATCCTCTCAGCCCAGAGAGACTGGAGGAGTGGCCAGACTCTGTGGAGAACGACTCTGTGGAGAGTCCTGGCCAAAACACTTCTACTGCATTCTGACCTGATTGAAATTCTGGAAAAAATGTTCCACTGCTGCAAGTCCACATTGTATTGTTGTAGCCGTGTTATAGTTTTATCTTCTGCTGTTGCCATGTTTTCCCAATGCTATTGCACACTATTTCACTGGATTTCACTTCACACTGTCTGTACCACAAAGTTTTATGCAAGGAACTATACTGACACGATATTGACGCAGATGTGACTAATAAGAAATGAAGGAAATAGTATAAAGAATCAGAGTATAGCATTGGTCAGTAATGTAAAAATGTCTTTTGTGTGTCCACATTTACAATCTATGGGTGTCGTGACCATCATGGTCATACTGGAACTCCAGCCCAGAAGAAATCAGGGAGTCACCACACTGGGCACTTTTAATTCAAGCCGAAACATAATTGTTTTAACTTCTGTATCTGCTCTGTCTTCTTAACTTTGTTAATTTATTAAATGTTTATGTACAGTATATATAATATACATACAATCATGATAATAAATTACAAAGGAGTTTTATAAAATGTCTTATTAGTAGAAGTAAATTCTCAAACCATTTTCAGAGCACATTGCAATTGTTTGTCTTCCTCTACATGCAACATCTATAACTAGCCTTTGATTGAGCTTCATTAATTGTTACTTAACACTATGCTGTCAGTATTACGGTGCTGTTCATATACAAACTTTCAAAAAAATGATTATCTTGAATGATCTTGTACTGTATATAATTCTTTTTGCAAATTATTGATCGATACCATATTGTAAGATATGTCAAAAACTAAAATAATGTGCTTATTTTCAGAATACATAAGGAAATAAAGCATCAGGCCATACACTGATTGACACACAGTATATACTGTACAGTGTAGTTGCTGACATCAGGAATTTTCATCTTTTATCTACAATTATTCACTAGCTTATTAATTATATTAAACATTGGTTGTTAATGTACAGTACAGTATATTTACTTCACGGAGTAGCTTTTTTTCAATTTAAACATTCACTTCAGCATGAGGTAGGTACAAGTTTCTAGTGAACAGATACAGGCAAGACATTTTCAATTCAATCTGTAGAGAAACGTTTTGATTGATCAAGGTGATGGACGATGGGTTGTATATACTGTAGGTACTTCTGTTATATGATTTAAACACATAAAGAACCAAAAAAGAGGGTGCAGTAAATAATGAAACTGCTGAGCTGCCTATTCTGAACAGGATTTCCAGGAACTCACCTATAAGGTACATTCCAATCCAGTCTCCGGCATCCACTTCTTCCTTGATATCCCAGCAGATGACGAGGTCATGTGACTGACCAATGGCATAGAATGAGCTGCTAACCATGAGAGTGGAGCGGCTGTCGGAGGTAACCAGGTCTGTGTCGCTGTTGGACCTTGGGAGGGTGATGGCTTCATGGGCACCGTTGCGAATGTCGACATTGTGAAACTGCTCCGGATTGTAGCTGTAGCGCATGGGCTCTTTACATCGCCGCCTATTCTGAGAGCTCCTGGAAGGAGAAGCCATGGCTGCCAGGCCTAGAAACCTGTTCTGGTACAAGTTCTGGAATCGAGAGGAAACAAAAGCAAACACTACGCAGGATGAACAACAACATGTCCACTGTGCCCTGACACACGTGGGTAAAAAGAGTTTCTGTAATATTCTGGGCTTCAAACTACAAGGACCCCAGCACAGACATAGGCTGATATCATAGAAGCATTTTGGTATTTACCGTCAGACATTAAATATAGATACTGAAAAATAAAAGGACAGAGATTTGGGGATGATAAAGTGATCAGGCCTAAGCAACTGACACATTATGAACTACAATAAGCTATCACATTTGAATCAATTTTCTGCTAACATTTCAATGAACATTTAATATGAACTAATATGAAAAAGAAAAAAAATGAACAGTCTTTAAAGTTTGAAGACCAGGTTGTGTATATGGGTGCTTTCTACAGTTCACTTAAATGCCAAGAAGCCAAACCATCATGTATTTAAAAAGATTTAATTTGTAATTGGAAATGATGGCTTGAAATGAATTAAAGAAAAACTTGTGAAATTCTGTGACTCCATTAGCCTGAAACGTGATTTTCCTAAAGGCAAACAACAGAATATGATAACACAGCATAAGGGAATCATCTAAAACTACAGGTACTAATACCAGAAGGTCATGAAAAATATTATCAGGCAAAGAGGAGTACATGTGTTACAACAGATGCCTCTGTAGAGGGTGAGTGAGGTGTCACAAATTGTTGGGATTGTGTGTGACACATCATGTGCCCATTTTCCAGAGCTGGGAAGCAAAGCAACGCTCCACCTTAAACACAAGTTCTCACTGTATGCATGTAAATTTAATATTGATATAAATGCTGTGGGATTATTCTAAATGACACACATGACAAAAAATGTGTTTTTTTTTTACACTTAACAATCTAATTTTGCAATACCAGCCCATTAGGTAGTAGCTTATTGATCCAGGAACCTCATTCAGGCATTGGCTTTATTGGCATGTGAAGGTATTGGCTTCAGCCAGATTTCTGGGTAGATTGCTCCAAACTCCCACAACTCTTTGGTTAAAGAAGTGCCTCCCATTCTTGGTTTTAAAAAACCTTCCATGCAATTTCCCATTCTGTGCTTGTTTATTTTAAGCAATTCAACTATGGTAGCATATTGCCCAATCCCAACCTGAAGATGGCAGCCGTGAGCAGACGATTTCCACTTGATGCTTTCACTTAACTCTCTTGTATATTGCATTGCATATTGAAGTGACTTCTTTGTTTATAGCAATTGTCATCTTGCTTGTCTGACCCCTTATTTCAAGCAGAACTGCTGCTTTTAGCCATTGAGAAAGAGGCATTGTTCTGCAGTTAGGGTATGAGCTTTATTCTTGAATAAGAATTACAACTGTATAAGCCACATTCATAAGAGAAAACAAGTCACAGGATGTGACTTTGAGCTACTGTATACTGCACACATTGGTACATGAAAAATAACTACATGAGGATGATTTTAAAGGTGTTTTCTGGTAACTGTTAAAATCAGTCAAATAAATGTGTCAAAACCAAAGGGTTAACAGCAGTCTAATCAAATTGCACATTAGAAAAGGGTAACTTTTATTATCTTGTTTAAAGTGATCAATGCTTTGCTCTTCTGAGATTTAAAATGTTATGTTAAATGAACAGGATCATCATTTTTTTTTAAATGCACTCATGAGAAACCTTGAAATCACTGATGATAGATGTCAAGTCATTCTAAAAAGAGTGAGAAATGTTTGTATTAGATAAAGCCAAAACCAGAAATTTGCCAAGTCAAGAAGGGTAATTCATATACTGTCCATACCATCTTTAAAGGCAATATTAATCAAATTAATCTAAAGTCAATTTGTTCATTAATCCCCATTACCTTTTCAAACTCTTACAGTAAATACTATAAAATTGTGAATTCATGCAGCACAAACAACACATTTATTCTAAAGGTACAAATTTCAATAATAATGAATGGACACAAAACCCATCACCCCTTACAAGAACTTGGTCTCTTCAAAGGTACAAAATCCTTTGTGTAGCAAAAATGTCACACACACTTCTCCTCTTGTGTACAGTATGGTATATTCTACTCATTTTAATGGGCCTTGACAAGATGTGAATACTGCTCAAAGCAGACACCAAAGTGCAACAATGTGCAAGGCCTGACATATATGCACATGTTGATACATTCTGTGTATAATGGATGCAAGCATGCTACAGGACAATTCTGCTATGTTTGTTGGGGTGTTAATTTTTAACTAATGTCAAGGTTCTATTAAAATCATGAAAATAAAATAAAAAATTAATTAATTCCCTGATAATACGTATATTAAGAAAGAAGCATTAATGTATTAATTATGCATGACTTGGTGCATCACTGGACACACAGTGCAGTGGCAATTTATCATGCTGCTGCATATGACATGCACACTGGGAACACAAGCTTTCTAGCACAGGATTACATGCTATGGTTGGTTAGCTGTGTGGATAGGATTTCTTTATTGATATAAAGTATTAGTAATTGAAACCCATTTTACCCAATTTAGAGGAAAAAAGGCCAAAGTAAATTGTCTTTATTATATTGTCCTAAAGTATTTTTCTGAATAAATTATATTTGTAGCACATAAACATTAAACATTTTAATAATCATCCATCCAACCATCTATCCATTTTCAATCCCCTTACCCTGATGAGGGTTACGGCAATAATTGTGACCATCTATTTTTTACACATAACAATCACTCTATAGCTGACCTGAAATACACAAATGTTGAAAAACTAACAAGAAGAGTAAGAACCATAACACATAAATGAAACAATAAATTTTAAATAAATCAAAATTAAAATCTATATTTCAAAAAGACACCTTTCAATAACAGCACATTAAATGAAGTCCAGTTCTCAAATATTATTTCATATCCCGAAAAAAAATCTACAAGAAGACCGAATTTTTAATTATTACAAAATTATTATAGTTTAACAACAACATAATAAAAATAAAAACTTTTATTTATAAAGCACCTTTCCAAATCCAAGGACTATGTACAGATTGCTAAATTAAAAGACAAAAAGGCATAATAAAAGTTAAAAGAAAAAACTGAATTTAACCATATAAGACAGAATGAAGGTACAGACATAGGCCCTTATACAAAAGTGAGTTTTAAGTTTGAAGAGAGTCAAAGAATTTGTCTTTCGAAGAGGTGAAGAAAAGGCACTCCATAAGAATAGAGCAGTGACACAAAAAGTACAGTCACCAGAAATCTGAGATTTAGTCCTACAGCCTACGGGAAGGAGTGCAAACATGGAGGAGTTCAGTATGACGGAGCCAGATTATTTTGAGCCTTAAAAGTCAGTAACCTGATCTCGTATTGAATATGCAACATTATAGGTGAATGGGGGCTTACAAGGTTTGGCTTTCAATTTGTAAGCTGTAGAGCTTTGGACATGCTGCACCTTACTAAGTAGAAAGTTAGGGACCCTACAGAGCAAAGAGTTGCTGAAATCAAGGTGAAAAAAAGATGTCTTATACAAATTTTTCACATTGAGGTCAAAAGCCAGGAGAGGATCAAATGTGATTCCTAGATTCCTGATTACATCTGATGCCTGAATGGGGAAGTAGCTTTTCCAGCTGACATTTGTTGCCCACTGGTATAATTCCTGTTTTGTTGCTATTTACAGTACCTTCAGGGAATTTGACGTCAATCAGAGCTTGATGTCACACAAACAAGAGATACACTGTAAGTGACAGAGGTGGGGATGCGGGGGGGGGGGGAGTTTTTAACGTACAGTAAAAGAATTATCGGCATACTTATGAAAGTGGTGACCATACTTGCGTATAATCTGATTTAGAAGAAGCATATAAATAACAAAAATAATGGGCCCAAGACTGAACACTCTGATACACCTTGATTGACTAGGGCCATTGGGGTTTATGAGGAATTATAACCAAGGGATACAAATTGCTTCCTACCAGTCAGATAAGAGCAGAGCCAGTTAAAGACGGTACCATTGATAGACAAGAATGTTTGCAAACAATTGAGCAACACTGAATGATTTAGTGTATGAAAAGATGCACTAAGATCAAGGAGCATAAGGTACTTGTAGCCCCTGAGTCAGTCTGAGTCTGAGCAAGAGGTAAATAACAGTCAGTGACTGATGCAGTCTTTAAAGCAGTATGGACCACTCCCAACTGATGTTGACAATTAACAGGCAGATATCTGCAGAGGTAAGGATGGGACCAAGGCAACAAGAAGCTGTTTTGCATCTGTTAATTATTTTTGTAAATTGATCTGAATTAACTAAGCTAAGAAAAAATAGTACAGAGGGAATTTCAATGTAAAAGCTAAAGCTCAAATACAGTTGCAAGAAAAAGTTTGTGAAGCCTTTGGAATTACCTGGATTTCTGCATTAATTACTCAGAAAAATGTGGTTAGATCTTCAATTAAGTCACAATAATAGATAAACACAATCTGTTTAAACTAATAACAATACCCTCCAACAACCATGTCCTGTGGCACCTGATGAGACTTGCACAACAGTAACGAGGAATTTTAGACCATTCCTCCTTACAAAACTGTTTTCAGTTCATTGATATTTCTGGGATTCCTTGCGTGACCAGGTCATGCCACAACATCTCAATTTGGATGAGGTCTGGACTTGGCCATTCCAGAACACAAATTTTCTTCTGTTTAAGCCATTCTGTTGTTAAGCCACTCCTGGATTTTGGATCATTGTCTTAACGTATCTCCCAACTTCTATTAAGCTTCAGGTGACAGACTTTCTGCTTCTAAATTTCTTGATACAATTTTGAATTCATTGTTCCCTCTATGATAGCAAAATGTCCAGGCCCTGAGGCAGCAAAGCAGCCCCAAACCATGATATTCCCTCCATCATGTTTCTCGGTTAGGATGAGGTTTTGGTGTTGGTGTGCAGTGCTTTTTTTCCTCCAAACATGGAGTTGCACATTTCTGCCAAAGAATTCAACTTTTGTCTCATCTGTTCACAGAACATTGTCCCAGAAACACTGTGGAACATGCAAACTTGAGACGTGCAGCAATGTTTTTTTGGAGAGCAGTGGTTTCCTCCATGGTGTCCTACTATTAACACCATTCTTGTTCAGTGTTTTTCTTATAGTGGACACATGAACAGAGACTTTGGTAAGTTCAAGAGATTCCTGCAGGTCCTTTGCTGGTACCCTAGGGTTCTTTTTCACCTCCTTCAGCATTGCACGCTGCACTCTTGCCGTGATCTTTGCAGGACGCCCACTCCTAGGGAGAGTAGCAACCGTACTGAATTTCCTCCATTTGTAGACAATTTGTCTTACAGTGGATTCATGAAGACCTACATCTTTAGAAATGTTTTTGTAGCCTTTTCCAGCTTTATGCATATCTACAATTCTTATTCTAAGGTTCCCTGATATTTCTTTTGATCGGAGCATGGTTCACATGAACACCTTTTTCTTGAGAAGAGCAGACTCTGTCAGTAACCAACCTTTGTGTGCCTTTTTTATAGGGCAGGATACCTCCAACAAACACCTCCAATCTCATCTCATTGATTGGAA